CATTGTGTTCAGAGCCGTCCATCTTTTCTTTGCTTCCTTGTAGGTTTTCTTTTGTTCTCTGCTGTGCACTTTTTACTTTGTTCTTTTTCCTCCCTTCCTTCCCCCTTCCCCCAGGCTACAATTAAGTGTGGATATTGATATATACATACACATATACATATACACAATACATACATATATACATACATAAACATATATTTTCTGTAAAAAATTCTACTCCTAATCTTTGTTTTTATGTTTGTGCGTATTTCTTTTTTCCTATCTCTCCTAACTCTCTACTTTGCTTCTATCCACTACCTTGCCCGACTACTTAACCTACCCCCACCCCGGATTCCTCCTTTATCCTCCCCTTTCCATAAATCAAATCACTTTTGTACACCCCTTTGACCTATTCCCTCACCCTCCCCTCTAAAGATCCCTCCCTTATCCTCCCATCCCCACTGATCTAAACACTCTTCTATAGCCCCCTTTTAAACTATTCCCTCACCCTCCCCTCTAAAGATCCCTTCTTTATCTTCTCCCCACTTCCTATCCCCTTAGAGTTTTATTTCCTTTTAAATTTAGAAGACTTTTCTACTCGTCTAAACGTATATGCATTTTTCCTTCTTGATCCCATTCCCGAGGAAAGTAGGTTTCCAGAACTAACAGCCTCCCTCCCCCATCTAATTCCTCTGTATTTGTTCTTCCTCCCACACTTCATTTGTATGAGATAATTACTCTTTTAGCTGTTCATGAATGGTTTTACTTTTTGAAGTCATATTATTCTCAGGTCTGCCCCAATCTTTCTTAAAAGCTACCTAATTACTAGTAACAATCTTAGACATAGGTTTCACATTTTACATACATAAAAGATAAACAGTCTGTCCTTATTACCCTTGTAATTGATCATTGGTATGTACCTTATATTTCTCTTGGCTCTTGTATGTTAAATCTTCTATTAAGTTCAGGTTTTGTTTTTTTTTTTTAAACAAAGTCCTGAAAGTCTGACAGCTCATTAAATGTCTATTTCTTTTTCATTCATAATGATGCTTAGCTTTGCTAGGTATGACATTTTCGACCACAACCACAGTTCTTTTGCTCTTCAATATACAGTGTAGCAAGAGCTGTGATCTTTCAGTGTCACCACTGCTAGGTCTTGTGTGATTCTAATTGTGGCACCGTCATATATAAATTATTTTTTTCTTGCTGCTCATAATATTTTGTCCTTGAGCTGTGGGTTTTGAAATTTAACTGTAATTATTCCTGTGAGTTTTCCTCCTAGGATCTCTTTCAGGCAGTGATCAGTGGATTTTTTCTATTTCTACTTTCTCCCCTTGTTCTAATACTTCAGGACAATTTTCTTTAATTATTTCTTGTATTATTGTATCAAGATTCTTTTTTAGAGCATAGCTTTTAGGTGGTCCAATTATTCTTATGTTTTCTCTTCTTGATCTGTTTTCCAGAGCAGTTATTTTTCTTATGTGATATTTCACATTCTCTTCTATTTTTTTAATTCTTTATTTTCTTTTAAAATTTCTTGATCTCTTATAACTTCAATGGCTTCCCCTTGCCGAATTCTGATTTTCAAGGAGTCATTTTCTTCCTTAAGATTCTGGATCTCCTTTTCTAGCTGGCTGACTTTCTTTTCATAATCTTCTTGTTTTTCTTGGATTGTTCTTATTTTTATTTTTAATTTTTCCCGAATCTCTCTCATTTGATTTTTTAAAATCATTTTTAAAGTTTTTCAATGAATTCTTTTTGGGCAGGTGACCATCTAACATTACTCTTTGGGGTAGAAGAGGGTTTCTTTGCTTCAATATCTTCCTCTGAAGATGAACCCCGGTCTTCTTTATTCCCATAAAAGCTCTCTGGTTGATTCTTTCTCCTTTGCCCATGCATTTTTTGTTATAGTTTAGTTTTTATAATCAGCTCCAGTCCTGGGGTTCTCCCCTCTGACCTTGAACTCAAATCCAGACCTCCAGCCTCCTGTAAGTGCCCACAGCCAGCAGCATCCTGCCCTACTGTGTGAGCACTCACCGGGCAGGCATATGATGGTTCCTTCTCGCCCCCACCTCTTCTCCACAGCACAGCCAGGTCTGGCATTCCTCGTCAGCAGAGGTCCCCAGCTCAGACACCCAACTCCCTTCACTGTCCCAGGGGTACAAGTTCCTGTTGCTGGGGCCCAGGCAGCCTCCCAAACCAGCTAACCCCAGGGCTTACCACTTGTGGTTTAGGTGGTCCCTAGCCTGGAGGTGTTTAATCTTCTCTAGGACCAAACCTCATCTTGGGATTTTTCTTTAGATCTTCTCCGATTATCCCAGAAGGACCCCTGTTCTGCTCTTCTCTTATTTATTTTTACCCTCTATGTTCACCATGAGGCAATATTTTATCTCTTTTGTGGAGGAAAATCTTGAAAGCTTGAAATTTTCTGACATACTCCACTATCTACCCAGAATTCTCTCCTCCAAACAACTTTAAAATAATGCTTCAAATCAAATTTTGGAGTGGCAGAAGGGAAGAATACACACATACATACACATACATAAATACACGCAAATATTATATATGTACACACACATACATATACATACATACATATACACATTCAGTTGGGTACAGAAATCTATCTCACACAACAGGGAAGCAGGTCATTGTGGAGAAAGTTGTGAGTGAGCTAAGACAAAATTTCTAGCTCTTCCTCTGCCATCTTGAGAAAGGGACAGGGCTTAGTAACAAATTGGATACAGGGAGGGGGATGGGGAAGGTGAGAGATAGTGACAAATCCAGGATGACACCTGGGTTTTAAGCCTGAGGGACTAGGAAGATAGTGTTGCCCTTGATAGTAATAGGGAAGGTTTGAGGAATAAAGAATGAGTTCTATTTTGGGCATGTTAAGTTTAAGATACCTACTGACATCCAAGGCAGTTGGGGATGCAATATTGGGGATCAGCAGAGAGGCTGGGGCTGGATAGGTGGATGTGAATCATGAAGGGTATGATATTGATCACTAGACAGAAAATCAGAGGGCATCAGTAATAGTGGGAAGTGGGAAGAGGTCATGTAACATGTTCTCATGTAACATGTAACATGTTAATACTAGGTATAATATTGATGCTTGCATGTACCGTATGTTCTAATCCTAAGCAATGTAAACACTCCAAGTTTGGAATTGCTATTTGATTTGTATTAGTAATAATTTTAAATATTATTCATAGATTTTTCTAGATTCTGTAAGGATACCCAGAAGAAAGAAAGTGGAATATAGTGAGCATGCATTGGTTGTCTTGACATAACTGACTCTATTATTTATTAGGTTACCATTTTGTGATGAAATCTTCTTTTGTTTGTTTTTCACAGCTTCTCTTTAAATTTTAAGATTAGCATATTGTAGTATAGGCTGGAAAACAACATTTATGTTCATAAACAACTGAAAACTCCCATATAGGACAGACCACCAACAAATATTTATTTGGTTCCTACTATGTATCACATAGTACCTACAGTTATCCTTTCCATATTGCAGGGGTTAGGGGCATGGTGCCCCCTTGATCTGGAAAATCCGAGTAAAATTTTTTGGCCCTCCCTTCACATCAGAGAAGAAGTTTGAATTTTTTTTCTTTTTCTTTTATGGGGTGTTTACAGTACTATACATATATTTTATGCATTTCTGAGTTTCTAAATTTTTTCTTTGTCCTCTGCTGGCCTTAGCCTGTCATCTGTGGCTTCTGCAAAACTCCCCCCAAATTCCCATTTAATTTCTTATGTCAACCCATGATATATCAAAACCATAATGGGAAAAGTCTCAATACAGAAGGGATAACTACACTGAGGAGGAAAAGCAAGGAAGGGGGGAACTTATCTCACATAATGGTGGGTGGTACAACTAGAAGTCTATAGAAACAAGAGGTCACTTGAACGTCACTTTTATTTGAACTGATCAAAGGTAGATAGAATACACACACATATGGAGGTTAGTACAGCAATTCATTTAGATCAACAGGGAAATAGGAGAGAACAGAGCAAGGAGAGGCAGGAATACAAAAATGGGAGTCATAACTCAGGGAGCGATTAGTCATAAGTAAAACAAACCCTAAGCTCCAAGCCCGGGTTGTAACAAAGACGTATTTTAAAAAAGTAAAGAAAGGGGAGAACCCATGATTGGGGTCTGGCTAAAGAGAAGGGGGGGGAAGGGGAAGCTGACTGCATCAAGCACAGAGCATTGCTGCAGAAGGGATATCTGGTCCACGACCCTCTTCTTTGTCAAGGAGGAAAAAGCATACTAGAATAGGATGGAGGGAAATACATAATCAGTGATCATAATTACAAACGTGAATGGAGTGGCAAGAGTTTAGCAATTTGCAGATTTTCAGGATGAAAGTGCAGGCTGAAGAAATCACATTCATAACATAAATGTCATACCCTTTGCCCCAACAATCCTACTTTCACCTTCATATCTTAAGAAGGTTAATGAAAGGGGAAAAAAAAGACCCATCTGAACAAAAATATTCACAGGAGTACTATTTGAAAAAACAAAAATTGGGAGCAACCTATGTTGTTAACCAACAATTGGGGAATGGCTATATAGGTAGTTGGTGACACAAAGAACTGCACGATAAGAGATGATAAATATGAAAATGAAAAAGAAATATGGGTAGTCATTCAACTGACACAGAGTGACAGAAGCAGAGAATACAAACATTGACTTCAATTATGTAAAGGAGATATATGAAACAGTAGCATAGCTCCTAGAAAATAAACACAATGGTCACCATTGGTGCTACTTGTTCAAAGTTAATGCCCGTGTTGAAATTTTTAAAAAGCCAATTGGTAAATGAAAGAAAGGCACAACCATTCAAAATCATTTTTAAAATGTTGTTTTTGCTGAATTGTTTATAGGGTTTAGGACTCAGGGGTGGGGAACCTGTGGCCTCCAGGCCACATGTGGCCCTCTAGGTCCTCAAGTGTAGCCCTTTGACTGAATCCAAAGTTCACTGAACAACTCCCCTCTAGGTCTTCAAGTGTGGCCCTTCGACCGAATCCAAACTTCATAGAATAAATCCCCTTCATAAAAGGATTGGACTCAGTCAAAAGGCAGCACCTGAGAACCTACAAGGCCATAGGTGGCCTCAAGGCCGCATGCTCCCTGCCACAGGTGTAGGTTTTGCTGCTGTTGCTTTTATTTTATGATTGGTTTCATTTCAGAAAAAAAAATTAAATGAAGGGGCTAAAGCAGACAATGAACAAGGTCCCATCCAGTTCCAAAGTCTATGGCTGCAGAGATGGGATACTCAATACATTTTTAGAGGACATCAAACTAGGAGAGATAGTTATCAAACCAGATGACAAAGTCAGCATTCAAAAAGGTTTTGTTAAGCCAGAGTATTGGGCTGAGTTTAATCAGATGAAATTCAATAGGGATCAATGTAAAGTCTTCCAATGGGGTTCTAAAAATCATCTTCACAAGTATGGGGGAAGCATGGTTATACAGGAGTGTGCCTGAAAAAGATCTTGGGGTTTTAGTGGACTGCAAGCTCAGTAGGGACCAACAATATAAGGAAGCCCCCCCAATTTTGCATTCCAGGAATTAAAGATCTGATAATCCCTTTGCAGTCTGTGGTTAGAGCCCAGCGAGACTAGAGTGCTCTGTTCTGGGCAGCATCGATAAACTAGAGTGTCTAGAGGAACGGCAAACATGATGATGAAAGGCCTCTAATGAGGAATGAATTGAAGGATGTAGGGAAGTTTTGACTTGGGGAAGGGAGGTGGGGAGGATGCATGATTTCTGTCTTTCAGGATTTTGTAGTAGAAGGATTAGATTTATTCTACTTGGCCCTAGAGGACAAATGTAGGAGGAATAGGCAGAGGTTACAGAGAAGCAGATTTCAGCTTGAGGTCAGGAGAAGTGTCTCAAAAAATAAGAGTTATCCTGAAATGGAACAGGCCACCTCAGGGATACTGGACTCCCCTTCATTATCTCTCTTCAACCAGAAGCTAGATGACCATTTGTTGGATATATTGTAGTATGGATGCCTTTTTGGATATGGGCAGAATTAGATGCCCTCTGAGGTCCTTTCTTGTTCCAAAATTCTGGGATGTCCTCCGAGGTCCCTTCTTGTTCCAAAATTCTGGGATTCTGTAAACATCTGTGATTCTGTAAATACCAGCATAGAAGCATTGAAGGGAAAGAACTTTGTAAACCTTAATAAATGCGTGAAAGTGTTATTGAAGTCCTATAATCAATGTGAGGGCAGCTAGGTGGTGCTGCAGGGGATAGAGCACTGGGCCTGGAGTCAGGAAGACTCATCTTTCTAAGTTCAAATCTGGCCTCAGACACTTCCTAGCTGTGTGACCTTGGGCAAGTCACTTCACCCTGTTTGCCTCAGTTTCCTCATTTGTAAAATGAGCTGGAGAAGGAAATGGCAAACCACTCCAGTATGTCTGCCAAGAAAACCCCAAATGGGGTCACAAAGAGTCAGATACAGCTGAAATGATTCAACAATAATCAATATGAAATATGAAGTATTATTTTTAAAACAGGAGGGAGGGGGAAGGAAATCCCATTTGCAGAATGGCAATTTTAAAAGCCCATTTCTTGGGAAATGAATCTGGACATTGTGTTGGGTTTACATGATTCCACAGAGTATCTGAGGAATGACAGAAATACATCTGAGATTTTTAAATTAACTGTGAAAATAATCTGATTCTGCAATATACTATTCCCTTATTCTTCTCACTTCCCCATCAGTAAAATCCTAAACATTAAATGTGCACTATAGCACTATTTGGCAAGTCATTTAAATTAGAACTAAAGTGGTACCACAGTGCTGCAATAGAAGGAAGAGGTGCCAAAGAGAGCAAAATCAAAGGGAAGTAACTGGAAATACAAAAGTGGGTTTGAAAGGCACAAACATTCAAGAGAGAAAGCCTGAATAAAAATAGTCCTTAAGCAGATAAACCAGTGACAGAAGGATGAATGAGTAAAACCTCAAAGAGAGTCCTGAACATTATGAACTATTATTATCATTATTATGGACCAAAATTACCTACCGGAAAAAAATAATCCTATAGAAATCACTGCACGGCAGCAAGAAAATACCGAGTAGTTCAAAAGAGAAACAAAATGCTTATAAGAAAAAAAATTAGGAATGAAACTAGGTCAGAAGGCAGAGAGAGCAAGGAGAATTAAAACACAAACAGTAGAGTAGGAAAAAGGAATATGTGACTGAGAACCTCTTCACAGTAGCAGAGGGTCTGAGTGAGAGAATAAATGTTTATAATACAAAAATAAAGAAATAGAAGAAATTTCAGAGGAAGATAAGCCAAAGTCAACAACATCATGAGAACTCATGAATTCTATGCAAGGCAAAGCAACTGACCCTGAGGACAGGATTTCCCAAGATAACTTAAACATAAGAAATTAACAAAAAACCTTGACTATAATATTGCAGCAAATGACCCAAGAAAGCTATCTATAACTTTTGAATAGAGGCAACAAAGCACACCCACAGATTTTGGAGAGGACCTGCTTCAGAATTCACATACAGTGGCTAAATTTCACCATTTTCAATAACAAATACATCTTGTGAACAGCCAGGAAATAGACAATCAATACAATGATTAACCATGATTCCAGAGGATGCATATATGATGAAATATGCTACCCTGCCTCCTGACAGAGAGGTGATAAAGTTGAGGTGCACAATTGGACAAAGCCAATATTGGAATTTGCCTTGCTTAATGAGGTTGAGAGGAGGAAGGGGAAGGGGAGGAGAGGGGGAGAAGGAGGGGGAGGAGAAGGAGAAGGAGAAAGAGAAGGAGAAGGAGAAGGAGGAGGAGAAGAAGAAGAAGAAGAAGAAGAAGAAGAAGAAGAAGAAGAAGAAGAAGAGAAGAAGAAGAAGAAGAAGAAGAAGAAGAAGAAGAAGAAGAAGAAGAAGAAGAAGAATGGGGCAGCTAGGTGGCACAGTGGATAGGGCACCAAGCCTGGAATCAGGAGGACCTGAGTTCAAATCCAGCCTCAGATATATAACATTTACTAGCTGTGTGACTCTGGGCAAGTCACTTAACCCCAATTGCTTTGTCAAAAAAAAAAAAGGAGGAGGAGGAGGAAAAGAGAGAGAAGAAAAAGAAGAGGAGGAAGAAGAGAGAGAGAGAGAGGAAAAAGGAGAAGGAGGAGAAAGAGAGAGAGAGCACATGAGACAGAGCTGCAAATATGAAGGAATGGCAATTCAAATAACAGGATTACTCCACATTTATGAGAAATCACAGCAGAATGGAACCATATATTGCAAAAAGCAAAGGGTGCACAAGGTACAATCAAAATAACACATCCTGAAAATCTAAGCTTAATCATCAATGAAAAAAGATCGACCCAACAACAACAACAAAAGGCATTTGGGGCATTCTTGATAAAATAAACAAACAAACAAAAACACAAAGGAGAGCTGATTATTTGACTTGCAAAAACCTCAAACAATAGGAACAGAAGGGAAACAGTCCAATTATCAAGAAAACACTACCAAATAATTTTCTGTTGTTTATAACCTATTGTTAAAGGGGAAAAAAAGATTGAATTATGGGATTAAAGAAAGAGGACCCATGAAGGGGCAAAAAAGGCCCCCAAAGGTGAAAGATTTAAGGGAAATTGAAGGAATCAGGAGAAAGAAAGGAGGAAGAAATGAATGACTAGACCACTGCCCAAGTCTCTGAATTCACTGTAAGTGAATAATATATATGGAAAGAACAAAAAATGGAAATTGAGTCCTGTATAATGATAATAACCAAATATTGTCCTGAAGGCACGTGCCTTCCTCAGTTGAAGAAGTGGAGGACTATAGGTGGAGAATATAATATAAATTGTCAAACATAGTTGAGGCACTGGATAATTTTACTGAACTGCTTTTTTTCCCCTTGTTTTTAAAAATCTTTGTTACAAGGGATGACTTCTTGGGTAGGAGAAGTGGGAGGAACGAATTCAGAAATAAATGTGATAGAAAAGCAAAAAGTATCAATAAAAACAAGAAAACCTTTAAAAAAATAAATAAAAAGCAAATTTCCAGGGAGTGGTCATGGGTAATTCCTGTTGAGTACATCCTCGGGTCCTGTATTTTCCTTTCTCACAGATTATGAGGCTTGGTGGAATGGTGCCTGGATCCACAGTCATGGTTTCTGCAAAGAGAGTCACAGGGTCACACCTGCCTCTTCCCCACCCCTCAGCCTCATGGGACTTGTTTCCTTTCTTGGGAGAGATGAATTGATTTCTTTGCCGATACGGCGCTCCTGTGACTTTGAACTCCCAAACAAAGGACTCCCTTTCAAGAAGGAGGGACTGAAATAGGGAGTAAGAAGAAAATTGCAGCTTCTGAATGAAATTAGCTCAGGAAGCAAGTCTGAGGGCTAATGGCACAGATGGAATTTAAGACCCCTTAGGCATAGGACTGTTTTTTGTCCTTGTGTTTCCAAACCTAGCCCCATGCCTGGCACATAGCAGATGCTTTATAAATGTTTGTCAAATTCAAAAATAAAATTCAAGAAATGAGAATCCCTTTCCTAAAAGAAAGTTGTCAATGCTAACAGACTAGAGCAAAGGAAAAAACAATCCAGGGCCCAATTCTGGTCACTCTCTCCTATTGAGACCTACAAGTGAATGGCATCTTCCAGCTAGACAAGCAGTGAAAAGAATGAAGCGGGGCAGGGAATCAGACAGTTCTATTAGAAGAGATGATTTTATTTGTATCTGGCTGGTTTAGTTTTCAGAGACAACGCTTTTTCTCAAGACATGTTCTCCTCAGGCTCAAATGAGATCCCAGAAGAGTATGTTTCGGGGTCTCTCTGTTTACCTCTTCCCCCATTGCTCCTCAAAAGGAGTCCTAGCATAGATCCTTCCCAGAAGCCTTAGGCATGCTCCAGGACTGGGGACATTTCTAAAGTTTGCAGACTTCCAAAAAGAAGGAGTTTCTTCTCCACAGGTATCCAAAAATTTACACGTGCCAATTTTGATTCTTCAATTGCATTCAAGAGAAAACAAGGATAGGATGATAAGAGGGAAAAAAACCCAAGCACTTTTGTCATAAGAAGACTTTCTGGAAAGTATTTAGACATAGAAAATAAGGGATTGGATATAAAAGGAAAAAGGGGCATAGGACATGACTTTTCCTCTGACGCGATCATATATTGAGGAACCCAGATGGGTGGGCAAGCCGATGGCCAACGCAATGACATTTTCAATCCTCCAACCAAAGAGGTTGAAGGAAAACTTCAATAATTCTGACTTCACTCATTTGGAATTGAGGACTACTTAGTTTGGCTTGTACATTGACAAGCTCCTGGAATGTCTCTAGAATAGGGTGGCTTGGATAGAGACCATTTAAAGAAGGAATAAGGTATCTTCATCAAGGAGAAGACTGGGGAGCTGAAGGAGGAGTTATGATGACATTCCTTGTGTTCTGGTTAGAGCTGCCATGGGAGGGAAGATTGGATTTGCTCTTCTTGGTCTCAAAGGACTGAACTGGGATAAGTAACAGAGCTCAGTAATAAGGAAGCAGATTTGGGCTTGATGTAAAAAAGATCCTCCTAGCAATAATGAGGATTGTACAGAGATGAGATGAGTTTCCATGCTCAGTAATGGGCTACCATCCTTTAAAGACTGGAAGTCCTCAAGCAGAGGCTAGATTGACTCCTTACTAGTGATGGGGGAGGGGGGATCCCTGGTGAGGATAGACTAAATGACCTCTGAGATCTCTTTGCATTTTGAGACTTTTGTCACTGAAGTGAAACTTCTTTCTACTTCTGGAGAAGAGAAATTGTTAAGCAAATGAATGCTATAGGGGATTTGGGGGACTGAGTTCTTTTTCTAGTCATTTTCTGATGCCTCTAAAACCCATCTGTTCCCATTCATGCTAAAAAGTTAGTTAAGAATTATTACCTATGAGTCCCCTCCATTCATTAAGCAAGTGCTGGGAGAAGTATGAGTTCTTGCTGTGCATTATTACTATGTGTCTTTCAACGTGACATTTTCTTATAAAATAGCCTAGAATTCAGACCTCTCCCTTTCCATTCAAAAAAAAAAATTAGCACGATTTTACTGTATTGATCTGTTGCATTAATCTCCAATGACTCCACGTATGCTAGGATGAGTCAGTAAGGATGGAGAAGGAAGGGTATGAGAAAGAGGGCAGTAGAAATAGCTGGGGTTGTTTTCTTTTCTGTAGGGCTTGGGGGCAAAGATGGAATTTCTGACCAAAAATCCCATTCTAACACAATAGCACATTTTCTTCCTCATCTCTATCTCCCACAGCTTGGCATGTACACATGGATCACTTCATCTGCAGGGAGTTATGGGCAGAGATTCCTTCTCTGGACTCCATATATGCCCTAGAGAAGAATATTCTGGGGACAGCTAGGTGGCTCAGTGGATACAGCTTCTGCCTTGGAGTCAGGAGGACCTGAGTTCAAATGAGGCCTCAGACACTTGACTCTTACTAGCTGTGTGACCCTGGGCAAGTCACTTAACCCCAATTGCCTCACCAAAAAGCAAAAAAAAAAAAAAAAGGACTATTCTGCCCATCAACAGTTAAGTAGATGACCTCAGGCAGAAGGGCAAAGATTAGTCAGGGAGGTTTTACTATATTGTTTTATCTATTTCACTGTACCCCAAATGCAGCCGGATCACTGATGTTTTTCTTCTTGATGTTGGCCTCTATTTCCAGTGCTGGGTGGCTGGTTTGAGGTGAACACAGACTGTTTTTGCTTTGCAGCCAGATCAGGCAGTACATCTCCTTCCCCAGTTAGGCTGCCATTGGGTAGCAAGGCAGGTGGAATGTCAGGCGGTAGATTTTTCAGAGGCTTCCTCAAGGCACTTTCTGTCTGAGGCTGAATACAAGTATCTTCCAGGGAGAGAACATGGAGGCCTGGCAGCTTCTATGTTAGCAACAGGGAAAGGTGGGGGGTGGGGAGAGAGAGAGACAGAGAGAGAGAGGGGGGGGGGAAAGGAACTGTGAAACATGAGAAGAAACCAAACAGCACCAGCAGGTGCATGAACAATCTTCCTCACTGGCACTCGCTTGACTTGCTTTGAAGCCATCCCCACCCCCATCCCCCCAAATATCTCTACCAGTTGCCAAAGGTCTTCAAATTCCCATCCATAGAGATTCATTCCTTTGGGATAAGACACTTTACCCTAGAATACTCTTTTAAAACACAGGCTGGTGTGTGTGTGTGGGGAGAGAATTCAGAACTCAAAATTTAAAAAAATGAATATTAAAAATAAAAAAAAAACCTGCTAAAGTAAACGAAATGAAAAATAAAAAAAAAATTACATAAAACAGCCAGAAGCCAAGATGGGGAAGTACATTAATGCACCGACACAGCTAGTAGTGCATCAGTTAGGATGGCATTAGCAAGCCAGTCACGCCTCAAGGCTCCATGGGAACAAGGCAGGACAAAGAACCTTTAATAAGACTTAGCAGGGAGCCATTGAAATGGCACAAAGGATGCTGGTCTGTGTGTGGGGCCAGGCTGGGGAAAAGGAGGAGGGAGAAGGAAGGAAAAAAATCTCCCTCCTTCCAAATTCTGCCTTAAACTGGTTCTAACATCCTGAATCTCAGGATAGTGGGGGAAGGGGAGTTTCCCCCAACTACTGGAAAACAAGTTATTGCAATTTTTTTTTCATTCCCAGCAATATATCCACAAGCTGAGGGGAACTGGGATCTGATGTGGTCAGGATACATTTAATTTTTAGAACAAAAATGGCTACTTGCCCAGTCACAATGAGCAGAAAAGCAGTGGCTTAGTTGAATAGAGCTGATTCACTCCTGGAGGACAAAGAGCAGACCCTGATGAAGAATTCTCTCTCACGAGGGTCTCCCCTCTCCTTCTCCCTTCCACACACATCTTCCATTTTAGCCTATTCTCCAACTAGGTAGCTCATCAGACGTTACATTTTCTAAAAAGATCTTTTAAAATTGGTCATTTAATACACATTTCCAACTTTTAAAATCTGTTGTTACTAGTAAAGGTGATGGTAAAAACTCTCAAACATCAGTTAATGATTAATGTGGAAAGGACAGGAAAAGGCCCATGGAAGAGATTTTCTTTGTAGTAAATGAGAACAATGTCACAACTCTAATCAGTGGAATAGGGCAGAGAGGTAATACAGAGTTATGGAGACAGACGTGGCTTTGAAGCCGATGTGACTTGGGTTCAAACCCTCCTTCTGACATATACTGGTTGTGTGACTCTGGGAACGTTATTTAATCCCTTAATGCTCTAGGTAAATCTCTAAGACTCTAAGCTGAAGAGAAGGTACAGGGAATTTCTCCATCAGAGAGCTCCTTAAACCAGCAAAGTTCTAAGTCCAGACTCACTATCTATCTGTAGGGTGGGTACATTGCCACCTTATTAATATCCCTCATGACTTTAGGCTAGCCCCTCAGGGGTGGGGAACCTGCAGCCTTAAGGCCACATGTGACCCTCTAGGTCCCCCTGTATGGCCTTTTGACTGAGTCCCAGTTTTACTGAAGAAATCCTTTCATGAAGGGGATTTGTTCTGGAAAGTTTGGATTCAGTCAAAAGGCCACACCTGAGGACCTAGAGGGCCACATGTGGCCTTGGGGCCATAGGATCTCCACCCCTGGGTCTATTGCACCAACAAGTGCCAGTCTGGTTCCTTACTCCTTCATTTCCAACCAAACTGATAAAACCAACACCTTCGTTGAAATAGCTGGTTGTCCTTTTTGCTGACAGTCATTGAGGAAAAGCATTACTCAGGAAGTCCTACAAACTTTGAGTTGTCAGGAACATTAGAGGTCATCTGATTCAACCTCTCTATCCCCTTGATAGCCAGGAGCAGTAGGAAATTGGAGAGATTTCAGCTCAACAAAATGAAAAACTTCCTAACACTAAGAGCAGTAGAAAAGGAGAACGGACAGCCTTGGGAGACAGCCTTGGCAGCTCCTCATCACTTACTGCCTCCAAGCGGAGGCTGGGTAAAGATTTCTTGGCATAGTTGTGGAGAAGGTTTTTCTTCATGGTCAAACTGGTCTAAATTCCTTCTGAAATCTCTTCTAAATCATTCTGTGGGTCAAGACAAGTGGTCAAGATGCTTCTACTTAACCTGGGGTGGGGAACCTGTGGCCTCAAGGTCACACGCGGCCCTCTAGATCCTCAAGTGTGGCCCTTTCACTGAGTCCAAGTTTTACAGAACAAATCCTTTTATGAAGGGGATTTGTTCTGGGGAGTTTAGATTCAGTCAAAGGGCCGCACTTGAGGACCTAGGGGGCCACATATGGCCTTGAGGACACAGGTTCCCCACCCCTGCACTTTACCATGCCCAGTCATGGGAAACTCATTACTTCCTAAGGAATCCCATTTTACTTAGAGAACCATCTAGTAAGTAAAAGGTTTTCCTTATACTGAGTTGAAATCTTACTATAGTTTTCATACAATAGTCCTATTTCAATTATCTTCACATCAAGAACTTTAAGACCTTTCACCTATCCTTAGAGATCGCCCTCCTCAGGACATCCTCTAGCATGTTAACCTTTCTGAAAATAGTGTTCAGACCTGGATGCAGTATTCTGGATGTGGCTTGCTCAGAAAAGGGGAAAGCAGAGACTATCCTCTCCTTTCTGCTTGTGACCAATCTCTCCTAGGTATTATCCTGGTACAGTTAACCCTTCCACATTGTGACTTTCCCCATCATGGTTTTAATATATCATGGGTTGGCATAAGAAATCAAATGGGAATTTTGGGGGAATTTTGTGGAAGCTGTAGATAACACAAGATAGCCAGCAGATGACACAGAGCCTATGACAACATACTGAACCCAAATTTTACAATAAGGTATTGTAAACACTCCACAAAAGAAAAAGAAAAAAAAATTAGATGTATACGGTATGAAAGGCAGGCCAAAAATTTTTATGCAGATAGCAGGGGTACCGTGCCCTTAACCCCCTTGATGTGGAATGGATAACTGTATTTCTACACTGGACTTTGGGGCAGGGGGAGGCAGCTTCTTTATTCTGGACACCATATTGCTATTATTAGAACAGGCTAGGACAAAATTGGCTTTGGGGGCTGCCAATTCACCTATGTAACTCACACTGAGCTTAATGCCTATTAAAACTCTCCAGCCTTTATCACATGGACTGGCATTGAGCCATGCCTTCCTCACCCTCTATTGTCCAGTTAATTTTTGGAACCCAAATGTGGGACTTTACATTTCTCCCTGTAGCATTCTAAGGGGGACTTAACTGATGTGAACTTGGATGCGTTACCTAAAGCCACCTAAAATTCTGCATAAAAAGGTGAACCCAGCAAGCAGGTTGAAGGAGCAACTTTGGAGTTGGGCTAGCCAGGCTAACTGAGGAAGGAAATCTTTGGAGGGCCCCCAGAAACTCACAGTCTCTAAGTGTGTCATGTCCTCCTCCATCTTCACTTGCCGATTCAGAAGTTGGAGGAGACAGTCCAGCATGCTCTGCTTGGGGTGCATCCCTTTGTCAAAACGATGGTACATTCCACACCAGAACCTTCAAAAGCACAAGAAAAGGAATAAGAATAGGCAGTCACACTGGGGCAGAAGGTCACTGCCCTTTTCTCATATATCAACTTCCACCCATCCAAAATAGTCACTGAGGAAGGCCTCAAACAGAAGTTAAAAGGAAAGCTTTTCAACAATGCCTTCACCATGGCTAGGACACAAGATATTTCCAGGAGAAAAAAATATTTCATTCAATGAACATTTGTTTTAAAATATTTTTATTGATGCCTTTTGTTTTGATATCACATTCACTCTGAAGAGATCCTTCCTTTCCTTTCTCCTACCCAGCAAGCCATTCCTTATAAAAAAGGGGGAAAAAGTGAAATGAACACATGGACTATTTATGATAGCGAATGCAGTGCTCCACATCCATGGTCCCTCACCGCTGTAATGGAGAGGGGAATTTTCTCACCTCTTCTTCAGGGCTGTCACAACATTTAGGGTTTGCTTTCCCTTTCCCTTTGCATTGTTGCAGTTTGTACAGTTGCACCCTACGTTGACTCTACCACAGTGATGCCATTTTGGTCCTCTTCGACAACAATGGACAACCACCAACCAACCAATATTGCTACAGCCATGGTGCTGAGAGAAATGATGATTTCCCTCTTGTATTAATAAATAATTATTGAATTAAGACCAACCTTTCCCTCCTTTTCTACTTCCTCATCCAGAAATCAACCAGTATGGGAAATCTTTCTCAAAGACTTACCCAGCCAGGTTGGCTGAGATCTAATCAAAGACAATAAAAGAAATTCGAAGTTTAGGCTAATGAGTGCATTTTTGTTCATTGTGTTTACTCAGGTCTGAGAAAATGTTGATTCCCCCTTTTATTGGCCAGGTGATATGGAAATTGTTGTCTCTGTGACCAAGACTTGGGTCGTCCAAGTCACATTCTCCAAGACCCACATTGTAATATTCATTTTCTCATTAATTGTCCCACATTGTAATATTCATTTTCTCATTAATTGTTAGCCAATCAGAGTTGATTACCACCCTCAGGAACCCAAGGGCATATAAACTGTGAGCCCACCACCATGAGGGGTCTTTGGTCTAAAAGGAACAGCTAAAAATGACCATTCTTTTATTAATAAACATGTTGGCCTTAGTAATAAAAGGATTAAATTACCCATAAACTATATCTCTCAAACTTTTTAAACATCAGAGTGCATAATTTTTTGAATTTGCTTTTTTTAAACTCTGTATTAATTTCTAGAAAATCTTTACAAGTTTCTCTGAATTCTTCATGCTTATCATTTCTCATGGCACAATAATATTCTATTATATACAGATACCATAAGGCAGCTAGGAAGTATAGTGCTATAGAACACTGGGCCTGGAATCAGAAAGTCCCAAGTTCAAATCTGGCCTCAAATACTTACTAGCTGTATGAGACCCTGGCCAAGTCACTTAACCTGGGTGCCTCAGTTTCCTCAACTGTAAAATGGGGATTATAATAGCACCTACCTGACAGAGTTGTTATAAGGATCACATTAGGCTTAGCACAAAGCCTGGCACACAGCAGGCACTTCATAAATGCTTATTTCCTCTCTCCCTCATCACAATTCATTCATCCATTTCCCCAACTAATAAGGTTCTATTTTGCTTCCAATTCTTTGCTTCTACAAAGCATTGCTATGTGTACCCAAACACTGAAACTAGTAAAGCATTAAAAGTTTCAAATCCCACTCAAGAGTTTGGGGAGACCCCGGAAATGAACCAGCGTTTCATATGCGCAGCAATGAAATCTCTAGGTTGAAAGCTATGCACATTTTAGTAACTTTGTTAAAAGCAGAATTCCGAATGGCTTTCCAGAATGATTGTGCCTTGATAAACATTGATTAAGCACTGACCATTTGCAGAAGCCCCATCCTAGGCACTGGGAGAAATACAAAATTTAGATAGGACAGTTGCAAATTTCATCGCACTTCTGGTTCAGTAGAAGGATAGGATTATTGCAACTCTAATACCCAATATTACATGGTGATTATGTTCAAGAGGTGCAAAGCAAAGTGTGTGCTATGTAATTAAGCAGTTTGGGACAAGATTTGCTGAAGAATCAATACTGCTATTGTGAATGCACAACAACCATGTATTATTTTTGTTTATTTGTTTGTTTTGGTAAGGCAATCGGGGTTAAGTGACTTACCCAGGGTCACACCACTAGTAAGTGTCAAGTGTCTGAGGTCACATTTGAACTCAGGTCCTCCTGACTCTAGGACTAGTGCTCTATTCACTGCACCACGTAGCTGCCCCAACAATGTGTTATTTTTAAACGTAACTAATTCTGACTTAATCAAAGTATAGAAATAGGTAGTAGATAATTCAGCTCCTTTGCTCTTCTTCTTTTATCTGCTGTCTAGGCTGTTCCAAAGTCTGAGCATTTCCATGTAGTTCATTAAACAACTAGCTATAACCAGGGTGAGCAGGTACAGGAGAAAGTCCTCAGATTAGGCTGTTGGGCTACTCTGCAGAGTAAGTGGAGAGGTTGAAATTACTGGAAGCAGAAAGATCAGGCTTCCTACCTCTGGTCTATCCACACTGTAATCCAGGGGTGGGGAACCTGCAGCCTCAGGCCACATGTGGCCCTCTAGGTCCCTAAGTGCTGCCCTTTGACTGAATCCAAACTTTACAGAACAAATCCCCTTAATAAAAGGATTTGTTCTGTAAACCTGGGACTCAATCAAAAGGCCACACCTGAGGACCTAGAAGGCCATATGTGGCCCTCTAGGTCCTCAAGTGTAGCCCTTTGACTAAATCCAAACTTCACAGAACAAATCCCCTTAATAAAAGGATTTGTTCTGTAAACCCGGGACTCAATCAAAAGGCCACACCCGAGGACCTCAGGGGTCACAGGTTCCCCACCCCTGCATCTAATTTATTGTCTACATCAAAGTCTGAGCAATATTCCATATGTGCCAGTATGACTGTGTTAATCCTCTACTCAAAAAACCTCAGTGGTTCTTCATAGCCTACTCAACAAGGTAAGTGTTTCCTTGCTCTGGCATTCGAGATCCTCTACAGCCTGGCCCCATCCTATCTCTCCAACTGCATATCTCATCCTTCATATACTCTATCATCTAGCCAAATGGATCCCTCTTCATTCCTGTGTCTTATCCCACCCCGTCCCACATTCATATCTTTGCTCACATTGGTTCCCTGCCTAGAATGGGCTCCAGTCCTCCATTTCTGTTTGCTGAAGTCCTTCCCTCCCTCTTTATCTTCAAGAGCAAGAGCTCTTCTGTTCTGATACTTTCCTATCTCTGTTTTTCCTCCTCAAATGTTTCAGAGCACTCTGCCTAGATCCCTCTCTCACCTTCTGTACTCCTGCCTCTATTTAATGGTTACTTGTGTATTTAGCCATTATCCCATTAGATAATAAGCTTCTTGAAGCCCCCTGCAAACATATTCGGTACTTAATGTTTGTTGAATTAAAATTACTTTCAAGGCTAAAAGTATGTATGTGGATTTCCATATGTCGTTGTTCAGCTATTCAGCTGTGGCCAACTCTACATGACCTCATGGACTTTTGTCCATGGGGTTTTCTTGGCAAAGGTACTAGAATGATTTGCCATTTCTTTCTCTAGCATGCTCCCATTTTATGGATGAGGAACTGAAGCAAATAGAGGTTAAGTGACTTGCCCAGAGTCACACAGGTAGTCTTAGTCTGGATTTGAACTCAGGCCTTTCTGGCTTCAAGCCCAGTGCTCTATCCACTGCACCACCTAGCTGCCCTTAATGGATTTTCATTAGCCATGGCCAATTTGGCACAGAGATAAGTTAGAAGTGTCTGCAGATTCTGACGGTTCTCATTAGTGAAAAGTATGAGCATCTAGACGAAGCTGCTGGCAGTAAGATTTTCAATGTGGTCCCTGACTTCTACTTCTTGATATGGTTGACTTGCTGACCAAAAAAAGTCAATTTCCATATATTTTCCTTTCTTTTTGAAAAATTTTTGGAGACTGGCCTCCCTATCTTGCCCAGGCTAGCAGCGCATTGTCTATTCAGGGGCCTGATCCTACTGTTGCTTGGCACAGAAGCTTTGACCTGCCCCATTTCTTCCTTGGGTCAGCTTGGTTGACTATAGCTCAGGACTCCACCAGCTTCAGCTTCTCCCAAAGCAGGTGTTCCAGGCATGCACCACCACACGTGGCTATCCTCCGCCACCACATGGGGCTATCCTCTGCCACCATGAGGCTATCCTCTGCTGCCACACGTGGCTATCCTCCGCCGCCACGTGGGGCTATCCTCCTCCACCACCTGGGGCTATTCTCTACCACCATGAGGCTATCCTCTGCTGCCATACAGAGCTATCCTCTGCCACCATGAGGCTATCTTCTGCTGCCACACAGAGCTATCCTCCGCCACCACATGAGACTATCCTCTGCCACCATGAGGCTATCCTCTGCCACCACATGTGGCTACCCTCTGCTGCCACACGTGGCTATGCTCCGCCACCACATGGGGCTATCCTTTACCACCATGAGGCTATCCTCTGCCACCATGAGGCTATTCTCTGCCACCACATGGGGTTATCCTTTGCCACCATGAGGCTATCCTCTGCTGCCATGCAGAGATATCCTCCACTGCTATGTGGAGCTATTCTCCATGTTTTCTAGCTCACTGTTTATCTTTTCCCCATTCTCTGGCAAGGTGCTACTGGGGAAAAACTGGCAACTAACAGAAAGTAGCCACAAATAACAAAAACCTCATCATCTTTACTCCTCTTACTCTGAAAGGAGAACAGGAGAAACACAGCTTAGAACTTACTGGAAGCTGAATGGTAAAGTGTTGGGATGAAGTACCCCATAAGCAGTGATGCCCTTGTACAGTGGGTTCCTGAACTCAGTTTTCTTCTGTAACAGGAAAGGCCACAAGGAATGGGTTCTCTCAAAGATTCTGTTTAAAAACAAAAGCAACAAAGTCCGATTGACCTTGTGAACCAGTCAAGTTTTTGTAAGAAGTTATATAACTCAAGTGGAGGGGTGGTAAGGGCAGACAGGGAAAACAGGTGAGAGATATCATCGGTAGGAAGGTTTATTAATGACATGATATGGTCAAAGTGCTCAGTTCTGGTACTTACTGGCCATGTAACTTTGGACAAGTCTTTAAAATGCTCTAACTTTGAGATTATCTGTCTAAAAAACAATTCACTTCCAAATATTCAAAGGTACGTCTTGCAATTAATGTGTATATTACCTCCGATGAACCCCATGACAACCTCCCCATGCCTGTCAATGTCTCTGAGTGCTCTCATAGGTTCATTCTGGGGTTTCACACAATCTCCCTTCCTTGATCTCTCGCTTTTTTTCAGGCAATTGGGGTTAAGTGACTTGCCCAGGGTCACACAGCTAGTAAGTGTCAAGTGTTTGGTCTGAGGCTGGATTTGAACTCAGGTCCTCCTGACTTCAGGGCCAGTGCTCTATCCACTGTGCCACCTAGCTGCCCCTTGATTTCTTTTGATGTCGAAGAGATATCAGTGTCCTTGTTTTTGCCACATGACCAACCTATTTTCTTTTTTATTCATTCATTCACTCATTCATTTATGTATTTATTTATTAGGCAATTGGGGTTAAGTGACTTGCCTAGGGTCACACACCTAGTAAGTGTCAAGTGTTTGTTCTGAGGCTGGATTTGAACTGAGGTCCTCCTGACTTCAGGGCTGGTGCTCTATCTACTGCGCCACATAGCTGCCCCCTATTTTTTTTTTTTTGATGTTACATTTCTTTGCTGGCATCCACTGCTCCATTTCTCCTCTGCACACCCACCATGTACTCTCTGGGTGACACAAATTTTAATGTCAATTTAATTCAGCGAGCACATACTATGTGGAAGACACTGTGCTAAGTACTGAGATTTAAAGACAAAAAAGGCCTTCTTTGTCCTCAAGGAGCTTATCTTTAACTTGGGGGAGATACAATGTGTACAAAGATCAATAAATATAAGATGCACACAAAGTGATTTCTTTGGCAGACGCACTAACAACAGGGGTAAAGGCCTTTTGTCAGAGGCGGTATTTGATCTGCACCTTGAGAAGACTTAAGGGTTCCAAGAGTATTCCACGCACGGGGGACACTGTATGCCAAGACACAGAGGTGGGTGATGGGATATCATGTATAATAATGGTGTCAAACTCAAAGAGAAACCAATCCCCATGGACTGAATATTGACTTAGAAAACCACAATTATCTATATCTTATTGTATTTGTATTTATTTTGTTAAACATTTCCCAATTGCATTTGATTTTGGTTTAGCCACAAGGGCCACAAATTTGATACTTCTGATGTACAGTGAATAGCAGTAGGTCAGTTTGGCAGGAAGAGAGCACATGTGCCCGGAAAGAAAGATTAGATCCACATTGTGACGGTTTTAAATGTCGAAGAGGAGTTTTACAATTTGGAGGCGCCTATTGGGACTTGCGGCCAAATACTGCCAACAGTGGCCAAACACTGCTACCGGTAGAAGAAGGGCAGAATGTCACATCAGACAGATACATGCGGTCATTAAATGAACTCTGCACATCTGCAAAGCCAATTCAGCCCACTGCTCTCCTCCGTATCTCTACAGTGCTCGCCCACAATATGGATTGTTTCTAGATGACATTGTATTGGTGGCACCAATCCATGGACCATTGCAGGGCTTCCTGAGTGTGATCCACAACCCAGAGCCTAGATGAGCAGCTTCACCCACTTGGGTCTTCTTGCACAGACACTTAGTTGAGTGGTTATGGATCTCAGTAAAGAGGCCTGGCAGTATTCAAGGGTGTCATCCAGAAACAGGAGCATTTGGAGGAACTCACCATGGATAAGCAAACCCTCTTCAACTTGAACTCTGTGTTGGATCTCCTCCAAGACTGTGGTAAACACCTTTGGATAGTTTGAGGGATGAGGAACCTGTGGCCCCACCCCTGGTTCAAGCTCTTCTCTTTTATATCTCGTTTGATATTAAGGGTTAAAAGGTCAAACAAGGTCATTTCTGTTGTTATTTCTCCCAAGGAGCCCTCACTCACAAACAGAAGGGAGCCGTGTTGGAGGACAGCTATAAGGCTGCATTTGGCTCTACTGAATCAACTCTCTCTTTGAAGAGCTAATAAACAACGAAGACAAGACTTTGTATTCTCGACATCTACCAATTGGTTGTATGATGGTAAAGATGTGTCTACTGTGTGATATTGCTTGTGACAGTCCTGCCTCATTAAAGATACGCTCCATACACAAGTAGTTTATTGTCATAAATGATTTTATGTGGATATGAAAGGAAGGCTCTAGGCTTGCTGTTGTTAACTTTGTGGGTTATTTATAAGGTCCGAAGACCATAAGTGCTGACAAGGATAATGTTGAAATCAACGTCATTCAGTTCCTCCAGCTAGATGGCCAGTGTTTGGTCACTAGGCAATGATTTCACATTTAGGTTATCAACAGCTAAGTTAAAGTATATAGATGGTTTAACTCTGTGTGAGTTTTAGCATTCTCTGCTTGCTTTCCCACCACCCCATCGCTGTTGGTTGCATAGGACTGGGGGCTATTTTTTTCTAAAGGAAGGCAGACTACCACGTGCAGTGCCCCATTTGGATGTGTCTGGAGTCTTGGAAGCTTGACTACTCTATGTTCTCCTACAAATGGACCTTGGGAGCTTGTTCTAGAAGGGGAGCACAGCTACTTGTATACCCTTGACCGAAAAACAGAACGCCTCTGTCAGGGAAGGTCGTCATCTTTGACCAACTGTGCAGCTTCGGGAGCAACGTACATGGAATGGTGAGGGAGAAAGGAGACATCCACCTAGACAGCCAGATGAGCCAAATCAACCCTGATGATCAATGAGGTGACAGATGTTGCAACCAGATCAACCTCTCATCCAGACTGAGGGCTATTTTTAAATTGTCTGTTTCTTGGGTTTCCACGACAAAAGAATTCATCACCAAGTGGCCAGCCTGAGGACATAGGCTGGTCCTCAGAAGGCAGACGGAAGACTGTTGCTGAGAGGGAGCTTGTACTCCCCTGGACTTCCATACCACAATGAGACATGAAAATAGGCCTTGGTGGATTCCTATCAAATTCACTATTGTGCTCCTATCTTTCTGGGGGGAGGAAGAAGAGGAATCTGTCAATACTCCCACCATTTGGCTGTACACATACACAAAAGTCTCGAGTCCTTACAAGCGGCAGGCTGTGGGAGGCCGAGTCCTCGTGGAAAATCTCTAAGTCCTTATAGACTTTAGGGGTCAGTATGTATAGAGGCTTGCCTCGGGATAAACGCTCCCATGACTCCTGCCCTAGCTCCCTTTGTTATGGTTTGTTGATCCTAAGTTCTTACTCATGCCCAGCCTCGAGACCAGGTGGCCGAATCGGGTAGACAATACTAAGAACTGGGCAGGGAAAACATTAGAGATGAAATTTGGCATTAAAACTACTTTCTCATGAGAAAATGAGGATCTTTAGCTGCTTAGATTGTTTATGTTATTAATTAGCACTTGCAGATCATTTCTCATGGTACAAAGCTGTTTCCTATAGTATATAATCTTGTAACACCTGAAAATAAACTAGTCTTATGAGCATTAGTCTCAGACTGGCGTAGCCCAACTTTTCTTTCTGCAGTTCCCCTTCTCCTTTTTCTTTCACCGCTCTGTCTTACATCACGCCGGCTAGCAGCAGCAGGCGGGTTGTGAGTTTGCCATTGAACCTCTACTTCTCCATCTGTAAAATGGGGAGAACACTACTCATCTGAACCATTTCCCAGGTTTGCCGCTACTCCTATTACCAGCCAGGCCAGTGAGAGGGAAAGTCTGTGCTATAGTCTAGACCTTGAGCTTCCTGACTCCAATCAGTCTCCATCTTCAGAGTATTTACTCAATATCTCCATGGGCACCGTGGGGATGTTGCAGCTTGATTTGTAAATAAGCTGCACACCAGTCCTCAGCTACCAAGCCCTCCCTCTGCCCTGCACCTCCCAGGCTCTTCTCCTTTAAAGCCAGCCCCATTTGATTAAAAAAAAATAAAGGGCTCAGATGCCTATACAGCCCCTTCCCCAACTCACTTCAGCTCCTCCCGCTCCTTGTGGCAGGTTCCTATGAAGTTCCCAAATTGACAGGAGAAAACGTGATCATGGATCTCCAGTAAGAAAAGCTCATTAAACTCAAAAGCACAGGGAAACTGCTCCATCAGTTGCCAGATACACTCCAAAAATTGGGTGAAGACCGGGGATACTTCTTTGGGGTCCCCATCCAGGTGACCACATCTAGCAATTTAAACAAAAACAAGAGAATCATAAGGCTCAACATCATGCCTTGGCACAGGAGAGAAGACTGGACTTCACTACCTATGGTTACTAATCCACCTAGGTGGCGACAGATTAGAAATCCAGCTGAAATAAATAAGAATCACATCAAGCCAGCCAAAGAGACAGGGGTCATGTCTCACAATTCCTTTGAGCTCCCTATACCATAGCATACACACATGGTACACAGTACAGTTATCCCTTCTACATCACAACCTCCCCCATCACAGTTTTGCCATATCGAGGGGAGTTCGGGGGGAGTTTTGCAGAAGCCACAGACCACACGCAATGGCCAGCAAACGACACAGAGCCCATGACCACATACTTAACCCAAACTTTACAATAAGGTACTGTAAACACCCCATGAAAGAAAAAGAAAAAAAAATCAGACTTCTTCTCTGGTATGAATGGAGGGCCAAAAACTTTTACTCAGATTTTCCAAATCGCGGGGGCACCCCCAACCCTTATGATGTGGAAGGGATAACTGTAGGTACTATGAGGTACATAGTAGAACCAAATAAATACTCATTGATTAATTTCTTTGAGAAACAAACATTGACAACAGAAATTTTCACTCTTTTTTTTCCTCCAAAAGGAGTCAAAAGTCAATTTATCCTTAAAGAGGAAAGACACCACATTCAAATTTAAGCTATGGCTGCCCTGGAACTTAGAAAGTTTTTGATAATACATGTGTTACTTTGCCTAAAATTCTTGACTAGCAGCAAGAAAACCTGACATTAAGAGAAATACGGCTACAAGGGACTAAGGAACAATGTTTTAAATGGGTGATGGCCAGAATTGGTTATAATGTAATAATGATGTTCTTGAGAGACTAGGTCGGTTGGGACAACTTCATGTAGAATGTGGCTGTTTTTATTTCACTATCAACACTACTGAACTCCACCCCCCTCCAACAACATGCATATGTTTTTACCTTTGTGAAAACTTGTGACCCATAGAGATCCATTCCCTTTCTATGAGGACCTGATGTTTCACACCAAAAGAGAAAAGAGTTAACATCAGGGAGGTTAAAAAGATGCTTTGACCATAACTTAAATATTCATATGACTTTCTTACGATGAAATTCTCATAACTTGAAGCTGCTTTACTGATGGAATAAAGTGGATTTCCCAAGCAATAACTAAGTCATCTAGAATTCATTTAAAGGGCTGAATATACTCCCCCAAAATTTCAGATTCCCCCCAAGAGAAAATATTCTGCATTAAATATAGTATGGATTCTTTTGGCTCTTGTACTATGGTAGGCCAGGCCATTGAAGTTATCACTAAATGCTATTCCAACAAACACATTAAAGTGAACCTTTAAAAAACAAAAATCCAAAGCAGTATTTCTGTTGAGAGCTTATACCAAGAATTAAATAATTTTTTTTAATAAAGGATTAGATTTAAGTGCCTTTTAAAATAAAGATGAAGGGAATAAGCATTTATTAAACCTCTATTGTGTTCTGGGCACTGTATTAAGCACTTTGCAAATGTCTCATTTAATCTTCACAACAATCCTGGGAGATTGGTACTATTGTTATCCCCTTTTTCCCGATGAGGAAACTGAGTCAGAGAGAGGTGAAGTGACTTGCCCATGGTCACAAAGCTAGTATGTGTCTGAAGCCATATTTGAACTCAGGTCTTCCTGATTCTAGGCCTAGCACTTTAGCCACTGAAGCATAAGCAAAGCTTTTCTGTTTTGATTTCTGTTTTTTTGGAAATCAATGAAACGTTTGTGATTTTCACAGTAAATGTAAGCTCTCTAGTTGTATCTACCAGAAATTCAAAGAGCTGATATCTGAGGCATAATATACCCATCTCAGGGAGCCATATTTCCCACCCTCACTACTCTTTCCCTAAATCTTCTATTGCTCCCACACCCCCCTCCCAAATACCCTTTTACATGAGGGTGTCTGCACAAAACTGCTATGTAATGGGTAAGGGGCTCGGGATGGAAAACAGAGACCACATTAACTGTGTGCGCCTGATGGAGGAAAAACAATGATAACCAAAAATATAAAATATGCATAGGATTTCGAGTTTGAAGGCATCACAGATACAGTTTAGTCCAAACTTCTCATTTTACAAAAAAAGAAACTGAGGCCCACAAAAGAAAGTAACTTGTCAAGGTGAAGCAGGTCATTAAGTACTTTGAAGGGAGGCCAAGTAATATAGTTCTCTCTTCCACATCTCGACTCAACTTATTGTAGTTTTGCTATATCATGGGTCGGCATAAGCAACTAAATGGGAATTTTGGGAGGAGTTTTGTGGACACCACAGACAATATACAAAGGCCAGCAGATGACACAGAGCCTATGACCAAATACTTAACCCAAATTACACAATAAGGTACTGTAAACACCCCATGAAAGGAAAAGAAAAAATTCAGACTTCTTCGCTGGTACAAAGGGAGGGTCAAAAAATTTTATGAGGATTTGGAGGGCGCCATGTCCTCAACCCGTGGAAGGGATAACTGTATAGCAAATACCCTTGGAGTCAGGAGGATCTGGGTTCAAGTTTGCCTCTGACACACACTAGCTGTGTGGCCAAGGACAAGTCACAGCTTCTCAGTGACACAGGCAACACCCTTATGTTACAGGCAAGATACTAATCTGTATCAGCTGAGGGAACTCCTTCTAACAGATGAAATCAGAGATCTGGATCAAAATAACAACAAAATCAGGCCTTTCAAAGGCCAAAGGATCTCCCCAGGGGTAGACTGTTTTGGTAAGAGTCAACTTAGATTTCCTCACAATCAGAAGTAGGATTTCTTACCATCAGTCCTTCAAACGTCCGGTAAAACGGATCAAGAAGGATGCCAGCCAGAGAGCATACTTGGGCCGTGCGGTCCCAGCCATCAGAGCAATGGACCAAGACGCTAGCTTTTTCCACTTTCACCGCCTGAGGGGAACAAAAGAGGGGGAAAAGGAAGCATGGATAACTTCTGCACAGCATACTGACTTCAGGGATAGAAACATGAATAGTGCTTATGTGCATTTCATTGGAGCTGACCTGTGCAAAGTCAATCAGTCAATCCAGCACCTACTATGGCCCCAGCAATATGCTAGATGTGTGTGTGTGTGTGTGTGTGTGTGTGTGTGTGTGTGTGTGAGATATACAAAGTGAAACAGTTCCTATCTTCAAATAGTTTGCATCGTAATAGGAGAGATGACCTGATGATAGTAGATACAAAACACATATAAGAGCCAATACAAGGTAGCACTGGGGGGAGGTACTAGTAATGGAGGAGACCAAGAGAACACTCATGGTGAAGGTGGTACTGGAGCTAATTCTTGGAGGGAATTGAGGGATCGATTCCCAAAGGTTAAGGTGAGGAGGAAGTTTCTGTTGAGTTATGTCCGACTCTCCGTGACCCCATTTAGGGTTTTCTTGGCAAAGACACTAGAGTGGTTTGCCATTTCCTTCTCCAGCTCATTTGACAGATGAGGAAACGGAGGCAAACAGGGTGAAGTGACTTGCCCAGGGTCACACAGCTAGTATCTGAGGCCTGATTTGAATTCAGGTCTTCCTGACTCCAGGCCCAATGCTCTATCCACTGCACCACCTAGCTGCCTTAGAGTAGGGAGTATGATGTAAAAAAAAGGAACAGTTAGTGTAAAGTCAGGGCAATAAGAGATGGAATGTCTGTCACACATGAAGAACACCAAGGAAGCCAATTTGGCTGGACTATAAAGTGAATGGGAGAATAACCTGTAATTAGGCTGGAAAGGCCGAGACAAGTCAGAGGTTGAGAAGAGCTTTAAAAGCTGAACCAGAGGAGCTGATTTGGGATCCTACAAGTAACAGGGAACCATTGGAGTAAGGAAGTGATGGCCAGACCTGAACCTCAGGAAAATCATTTTAGCAGCTGTATGAAGGATGGACTGGAGTGAGGAGAGACTTGAGGCAGAGACCAGTCAGGAGGACCTCTGTGAGAAGCAATGGGGGTTTGAATTAAGGTACTGGCTGTGTGAGTGTAGAAAAAGGGATATATACAAGAAATGATGCGGAGAAAGAAATAAAATGTAGCAACTGAGCAGGCTGAGGTAAGTAAGAGGAATCTAGGATGACACCCAAGGCTATGAATCTGGGTGGTGCCATTAACAGAAATAGAGAAATTAGGAAGTGGGCTGATTTTTTTTGTTTTTCTTTTTAGGCAATTGGGGTTAAGTGACTTGCCCAGGGTCACATAGCTAGTAAGTGTCAGGTGTTTGGTCTGAGGCCAGATTTGAACTCAGGTCCTCCTGACTTCAAACCCCCAAGCAGGGTGATTTTTAATGGATGAGAAAGCATTTATTAAACCATGGCAAGGACAGTACTAAGCACTAAGGATACAAATCTAAAACAAAGATTGTGCTAGCCTTCAAGGAGCTTATATTCTAATGGAGAGACATGGCCAAAAGAGAGTGGTGGCCAAGAGGTAAACTTGGTGTTGTGGAGAGGTACTGAATTCTGTTCTGGACATCATGGAGGTATGGACAGCTAGGGGAGGGGGTGGGTTGGTCACGTAGTTGAGAGATGAAAGCAGGACAGCCCGAGGGCTACATTGGATTCTCCAGATATATTACTAAAAGAATGTCCTAGCTCTAGAGCTGGTAGAGGCCTTTGAGGTCACATAGATCAATTCATTTGTGTTATCTATTCATTATTTAAATTATAATTTTTTTCAAAGAAGATCCACCTTTTCTCCCTCCCACCTCCTCCCCACTGACCACCCTTATTGAGAAAGCAAGAAAAACAAAAGCTCTGTTATAAATATGCAGTCAAACAAAACAGATTCCTTCATTGGCCACGTCCAAAAAGAAATGCCCTGATCTGCACCAATCAGGAGGTGGTTAGCAGGTTTCATCATGAGTCCTCTGGAATCATGGATGGTTCCCAAGTGAAAGTGGCACTGCTGTGTTTTTTCTTTGCAATGCTAGGACCACGTTAAAAAGCTGAGTTCAGATACCAGAAGAAGAAGAGTGGCAACTGTTACTCCTGGCTACTCAAAGCAGCGAAAAAAAGATACCCCACTGAGCATATCTTGTTCTTGACTAACAATCTGAAACCTCAGCATAAAATAAAAAATAATTCTGCTTTCATGAAAGTGACAGAAAACGTTTGCCCCAAACCTTTCTCCTTTCTTTCCACTAAAGGAAGAATGGTAGTGAGATAGGGAGAAATATTAAAAACTCACCTGTCTATAACGCTTTACAATTTACCATAATTATACCCTGTAGTACTGCTTGCTGTTCGCCCTTTGTTCTCGAAGATGACCAGGACATCAGGGAAGTGATGCCATGACATGCAAGTGAATTGGATTCAAGGCTGTGCAGACTCACCAGCCTCACTTTCTCCTCCAGAGCCACCTGGGTCCAGTGTCCAGATATCGATCAGGACAACAGGAGATGGCCCAGGATGCAATGGGAGACCTTGGCCTTTTCAAGCTAAGGTCTTTAACATATCTCAGTTCCAACTGTATGGAACCTCGGAGAGACAAAGTGACTTGCAAAAGCCAGGCTTCCCTAATCAGTTAGCAGAAGAAGAAAAGAGTACAGAAATGTATTGAGAATTACCTTTGCAAGGAAGATTCCAGCATCCATAATAGTTTTAATATGTTTCAACCACCCTGAGTTCTCCAGGCCAGCAAGAAAGTCACTCATTGACGGAACTTTCATTTCACAGACTTAAGAAAGAAAAAAAACAACAAAGACTGAAATGAAGTATTTCCTACACCTCCTCCACCCCACTCCCCCAAGAGTGAGACAAAGAACACAGGATATAGAGTCATAAGGTCTGGGTTCAAGGTCTGCCTTTGCTACTTACTAGTTGTGTGACTTCCTGTCTCTGGGTCTTGGTTCTTTGTGAAATGAGGAAGCTGGAGCTTCCCTCTGAGCTCTGACATACTAGATAAACCACTTTACAAAAGGGGAGCAGCTAAAGAATCACAGCATGTCTTTAAATGACTGGCACGATGAAGACTACCCATATAATCAGATCCATAACAGTGGATCTGGATCTCCAGTTTCTCAGCTAACCGAAGGTAAACACTCAAGTTAATCATGCCTGGTTAGAGAAAAACATATTTGACTCCAGATAAAGCACTGGCGGATACCAAAAGGTAGTATGGTATAAACCAAGATGTCCTTTAAAAACGTCTCTCCCTTCACACGTGAGAGAGCTTCTGCTTACCATGGGACCTGGAGTGGGGGAGTATCAACAGCTCTGAAAATGAGTTACTTTTGATGCCTTTTCAATGTCCAGCAGGAGACACGAAAGTGCCTTAAATCCTACTTATTGCATGGAATTAGATTTAGAAGGTGACTTTGAGATCACTTAATCTAACCCCCTCAATCTAACAGAGAAGTAAACAGGCCCATGGAAGGGAAATGACTTCTCAAGGTCACAGAAGTAGTCAGTGGTAAAGCCAGGATTCAAATTCACATTCTTTAAAAACAATGTTCTTTTTTTTTTTCCACTCTGCCTCTTTAAAGTCCATCACAGTATAAAAAAATTCAGAGGAAAGATGCAGAGAAGATACAACACACCCAAAGGGCAAGTTTTCATCACCTTGTCCTAGATGTGGCATACCACATCTGAGAATCCTTGGAAGTCCGGAGGAAATTCCCTAAGACAAGGGTTCCATAGGACCCCGAGCTCCTTTTTGTTTCTTCATATTTTTCATGAATCTGTCCCTGTCACTCTCCATTCCCACCCCCATCTCCTCACCAATGAGCAAAATAAAATGTCCTCAATACATATTGTTCAGCAAAATTAATTCCCACATTAGCCAAGTCTCAAAATGAACACCTCTTGCTGTGTTTTAAGTTCATTACCTCTGACATGAGGTGAGTGGCATTGTATCGTTCAGAGTTCTAAAGCCTTTGAAAGTTGTTTTTCTCTATAACGTTATTGTCACTGTTAGACTATTCTAACTGTTCACTTCAATATGCAACAGTTCATGGATGTGTTCTCAGTTTTCTCTGAAACTGTTTCATTTCTTATGGCCCAATAATATTCCATTGCATTAATGTGCTACAACATATTTAACTATTCCCCAATAGGATACCCCCTTAGTTTCCAATTTTGTTTACTATGAAAAGAGCTGCTATAAATATTTTCATATGTACATGTTCTTTTCCATTTTCTTTGACTTTGTTGGGGTACAGGTCTAGTAGCAGTATAGCTGGGTCAAAGGGAATTAACAGTTTGGCAACTTTCTGGGCACAGTTCTAAACTGCTTTCCAGAATGGCTGGACCTATTCACAGTTCCTTCAACAGTGTACCTGTTTTCCCATAGCTCCTTCAACATTTGTCATTTGCCTTTTTTGGCATTTTTCCTCATCTGCTAAATGTGAGACAGAATCTTTGAGCTGCTAGTGTTTTTTCATATGCTTGTCGATAGCTTGGATTTCTTCCTTTGAAAATTGCCTGCTCATATCTATATCGAGGGATGTTGCTAAGCCTCATGAATTTGAATCAGTTCCTTATATATCTTGGATGAGACCTTTATCAGAGAAACTAGCTGCAAAGACTTTTCCCCAGCTGTTTCCCTTCTAATTTTTACTACATTGGACTTGTTTGTACAAAACCTTTTAAATTTTCATATAAACAAAACTTTCCATTTTATCTTGTGTGGTCTTTTCCATCACTTGTTTAGTATTCTCTAAGACCAAAATTCTAAAGGATCCCAATCCTCTTTGTCCATCTTTCCCAAAAGATTCTATGGTGATGGCAGGTGACCAAGATTATGCTCAAGGCTTTGTTCTTACCCAGCAGAGCAGTAAAAGCAAAGAGTGAAAGGAAACTTAGGAGCATTCACTGCTAACAATGATGCTAAACTAAAAAGTCTGCCATATTTCTTCTGGCACAGGCCTACGCTACCACTCCTGTAGTTAAGTGCTCTATTGATTCCCCCAACACAGATGCTCAGTTGTTCTCAACTATAGTGTGAAATCAATGGAAATGTTGAATAACAGAGTTGGAAGACACCTCGTAAAGCAGTCTATTCCAACCCTTATGTGATGGATGAAGCATGAATCTCTTTAGCAACTTGGAATTGTAAGACTTAGAGCTAGAAGAACCCTTTGATTTTTTAAAATTTTATTTTTTTCAACCAACTACCTCCCACTTTCTCCCTCCCAAGTGAAAAAGAAAGAAAAGAAAATCCTTGCAAGGAATATGCATGGTTAAGCAAACCAAATTCCCTTATTGTAGAAGAACCCTTTGCAATCATCACCAGGGGTGGGGAACCTGCAACCTCGAGGCCACACAGGGCCCTCTAGGTCTTCGGGTATGGCCTTCTCACTGAGTCCAAGTTTTACAGAACAAGTCCTTTTCTCATAAGGGGACTTATTACGTGAAGTTTGGATTCAGTCAACCTCGAGGCCGCAGGTTCCCAACCCCTCATTCTAGTCCAACTATAGTTATCCCTTCCACATTGCGACGTTCCCCATTGTGGTTTCAATATATTGTGGGTCAGCATAAGAAATTAAATGGGTATTTTAGGGGAGTTTTGAGGAAGCTGCAGATGACACTTGAATGCCAGCAGACGACACAGAAAAAGTTTAGAAACTCAGACATGCATTATATATATAATATATATATATATATATATATATATATATATATATATATATATATATATATATATATATAATATTGTATAGTATCAACATATTTTAATACCATAATAATTCAAACTTCTTCTCTGGTACAAAGGGATGACCAAAAAAATTTTATGTGGATTTTCCAGATCACAGAGGCATATGCCCTTAAACCCCTTGATGTGGATGGGTTAACTACTTTATTTCAGAGACCTTAAGTAGTTGGGCATCAAAAACTAACATTCTCTCTACTCAATCATGTGGACCATCATCCAGATTCCCCTTAAATGTGTCCAGAGATGGACAAACCTACTGAAGCACCTCATCTCATTTCTAGATGGTTCTATTATTATTATTGATTATACTCATGAATATACCAAGCTGAGATCTGCTCCTACCAGGCACCTTACAACCTAAACTAATCTGGCCACATTTCAGGACCATATTGGCCAATAACAGTACATTCCAATCAAATGCCACAGTGGCAACTGATTCTCTTCCTCTGGTTACATCTCTGGCTCTACCTTCAAAGCACATGATCTTTGTATAAACATTAAGAGGTATACTGTGGCAAATTCTCCCCACTTCCCTCTCTTCCTCTCCCTCTCCCTCCAATTAAGACCAAGCCTTCATACCTTCCAGGAGTTTCTGCAGGCTGCCCCGCATTACATGGATGTTTTCAATACCAATGAACCTGAATCGAATATTGGCATAATTATCCTCGTTTTCATACCCCTTTCCAGCTGCTCGGTTAGCGATGGCATTCAGCTGCAAATCAAGGACACGGTAGGGCAGGCATCAATAGGCTGAGTGAGGCAAGGACAAGACTTGTTCTTGGGGTGGGCCTCAATGATATTATTCTTTATTTCTAGAACCCTGCTCATAAAAGGAAAAAACTAGGGCCTAAATTAGGGGTTAGGGTAGAATTTCACAGTTTCTTAAATCCTGTACTTGAGAAAATGGCAATATACTTTCATCAATATGTTATGACTCTAATTGTGGCATTGTGCATCATGGTGGCAGTGCAGATGCTAAGTCCTTCCTGCCTTATCAGATTGGCAAGTACACTGGGCACGGTTCATATTAATAAGAAATACACAAAACACCTCAGGCATAACTTATATACATTACCCTGGGCAGAAGGAAAACAAACATGGGCTTAGAAGGCAATATATCAGTTCAAAGAGAGACTGCGGCTAATTGCAATCCCTTATCATACAGACACAGGGTAATTAAAGAGCTATTGAATGAATAACAAACAGAATATAACACTAGGGAAGGAAAAGCAAGGCCCCTGGGTAGCAAGTGAACTTGTTAGGACAGTATATTACTATAAATCAGAGGTTCATAACCTTATTTGTGTCTGGATCTCTTTGGCAGTCTGGTGAAAGCTACGGGCCTCCTTTTCAGAAAAATATTTTTAAATAATTGAAGGAGATGCTAAATTCATTTAGAGGTGAGGTGAAGGAAAACAAAGATGCCATTTTCTTCCCATTCAAGTTCATGGATCCCTTGAAATTTATCCATTAGATCCCATGGCAGGAGGGGTTTGTGGACTTCAGGTTAAGAATCCTTTCTACAAATAAAACAATAATTACAAGAGATATCCTCTACCTCAGTGGTCCTGGGCAACACTAGAGTGGGGGTTCTTACCCTGGGGTTCATTAATTTGAGTTTTTTAAAATACTGTGATAACTATATTTCAATATATCGAGTTTCCTTTGTAATCCTAAGGATTTTCTTTTATGCACTTGAAAATATTATTCTTAAAAGGGAGTCATGGGCTTCATCAGACTTTCAAAGGAGGCCAGGATGCAAAAAAAAAAAAATTAAGAATACTTGTACTGGTGAAAATAGCTGTTGTAGAAATCTGGCTATGGTTTCTGACTATGACTAAGTAGTGGACAGAGTACTGGATTCTAAAGTCAGAACAACCTGGGACTGTTTGCCACATCAGACACAGCTGGCATCAGGAGGCAAATCACTTGTTCTTTCTGAGCTTCAGTTTGCCCATCTGTAAAATGGGGATAATATTGCCTGTAGTATTCACAGGGTTGTTATGAGGATCAAATAAGTTAACGTCCGAAAAGGTCTTCATAAACTTTAGAGCACTATATGTCAGTTATTATTACACTGCGTAGTACTGTAATATAATAAATATAATATAATATAATATAATATAATATAATATAATATAATATAATATAATATGATATGATATGATATGATATGATGAATGATATGATATGATATGATATGATATGATATACTATACTATACTATACTATACTATGCCTTAAAGATTGCTTAATGGAAGTTACTACTCCTTATTTTCTTTCTTGGTAATAATACAATAGCTAACGTTTATATAGTGGTTACTCTGTGCCAGTCACTGGGCTAAGCACTTTAAAATTATCACCTCGTATGGTTCTTACAATAGCCCTGGGAGGTAGATGCTACTATTATCTCCATTTTATAGATGAGGAAATTGAGGCAGACAGAGGTAAAGTGACTTGCCCAAGGTCATACAGCCAGTAAGTGACTGAGGCTGGATTTGAACTCAGGTCTTCCTGACTCCAGGCCTGGCACTCTGAGCACTGTGCCACTCAGCTGCCCCTACTGCTTTTATTATATGACACTGTGTGTTATTGCTCTCTGTTTGGGAGATTTCCTCCCCATTAGAATGTAAGCTCCTTGACAGCAGCAATCCTATCTTAGCCAAACTTGGTATGTACTCTAGTGTAGCGCTTTGCACACAGTAGGGGCTTAATGAATATCTGCTATCTGCATGGATGAATGAATGAATAAGATAGTTGGGCATCCATACAGTGAAGAGACACACCTAGCCCTGAGTTGAGAATTTCAATGAATCCCCTCAAAAGGTACCTTTGGCCTCGTGTCTACCACATAGATGAATGGGCTGGCTGGGTTGGCTTGGCTGATGGACTGTAACATCTGTTCATCCTCCAGGCAGCGGGACCCAAATCCAGAGAGGGGTTGGCTACAGCGGCATATGGCAGCCTGCAATGAGCAAAGGCCACAGGTCAGAAAGGCTCCGCCACCTCAGTAAGCGGCAATTCTGCAGGGAAAAGACTGAATGGTTCAAGTTTCATCATCTCTGAAAGGATGCGCCAATGCTAGGAAGGTGACCTGACAGTTCTATATGGTTTGCCAAAGTGCCTTACATACATTATGACATTTGATAATCTCCATTTTAGAGAAAAGGAAGCAGAGGATCACACTACCAGCACTTTCTTTACAGTTCAATTCAACAAACATTTATCAGCTGGGTACTAGAGACAAGGTCCTGTGCTCAGAACTTCAGAAAGGTAAAAAATGACAGTATCTACCATCAAGGAAGGTAAGACCATAAGATCAATCAACCAACATTTATTTGCAATTGACAATCAGCTGGGGAAACAGGACATATACACAACACAAGGCGAATCCTTTTTTTTTGTTTTCATTTTATCTTTGTCTTCTCAGTACCTTACACATAGCAAGCACTTCATAAACGCCTGTTGGATAGGATGGGGGCAAATCTAGATTTGGTTCTAGAGAACCAAAAGCAGTGCTCCAGGAAAATGTAAAGATGGCAGAATCAGGGAAAATTTCATGAATTAATTGTGCCGGAGCAGGGCTTTGAAGAGAAGTCGGGGGAGACAGGGCACAGCCAAGACGGCAGGGTGGAAGAAGCACTCCATCTAAGCTCTCCCCAATACTCCCCTCCAAATAACTTTAAAAGAATGCCTCAAATCAAATTTTGGAGCAGCACAGATAATAAAAGGTGGGGGTGAGACATTTGTCTAGCCCAAGAGGACTTAGGAGGTGAGAAGGAGAGTTCTGTGACACTGAGGTTGGGGTTGGCCCAGAGTACATATGGGAGTAATACCAGTTGGCCTTGAAGGTGGTTAGGGCTGTCACAGCAGCAGCAGGTTTGGGAGCTCTAAGCCCAGAGGCTGGTAAGGGAATTGGACAGCTGGTCAGAAAGAAATTACAGGGGACCCCTGTCCTAGGCTAGCAACTCCACTGCACACAGTGAGTTCTGAGATGAAGCTCCAGGGCAGAGAAGAGCTCTTGCAGCTGCAAGGAATCAGGGGCTGTTTCTAAGTAAAGACCAAAGCACAGACCAGGACAGTAGTGACCATGTCTTACCTAGGATCACAACACTTTGGAAACACTGAAAAACTTATATACCCCCAGTACTAGCTGGAGAAACCTAGTGCCAAAAAGCCTAAAGCCTGGGACAGTGCCCTACCCTCTCATTCTGAGAACAGAACCCAACTTAAACATAAAGTTCAAAGGAAAAAAAGGGCTGGAAATACGAGCAAACAACAACAACAACAAAAAGAACCTAACCATAAAAATCTACTGTGGTGACAGGGAACATCAAAACACAAACTCAGAAGAAGCCAATGATGTGAAAAGCCTCAAAGAAAATGCAGATTAGACACTAGCCCAATTGAAAACTCCTGAAAGAGCTAAAAAAAAAGCAAAAGAATGATTTCAGAAATCTAATAAGAGTGGTAGAGGAAAATTGAGAAAAATTATGAAAAGAGAATTAACTGTTAACTGAACAGAGGCATAAATTAACTGAAAGAGGCATAAAAAGTACTGAAGAAAATCATACCTTACAAAACAAAATTGGCTAAGCAAAAAAAGAGGTACAAAATCTCACTGAAGAAAATAATTATTTAAAAATTAGAATTGGGCAAGTGGAAGCTAATGCCTCCATGAGACATCAAAACAAAAAATAAAACAATAAAATAAAGTCAAAAGATTGAAAAAAATAGAAGAAATGTGAAATATCTCATCAGAAAAACTGACCTTGAAAATAGATCAAGGAGAGAGAATTTAAGAATTACTGTACTACATGAAAGCCATGATCAAAAAATGAGCCTAAACATCATATTCCAAGAAATTATCAAGGAAAATTGCCCCAATATCTTAGAACCAGAGGGCAAAATCAAAATGGAAAGAATCTACTGATCATTTCCTGAAAAGAGATCCTAAAATGAAAACTCCCAGGAATATTATAGTATAATTCCAGAGCTTCCAGGTCAAGGAGTAAATATAACAAGAAGCCAGAAAGAAACCACTCAAATATTATAGAGCCAAAGTCAGTATCACACAAGATTTTAGCAGCTTCCACGTTAAAAGAACGGAGGGTTTTGAATACGATATTCTGGAAGGCAAAGGAGCTAGGATTGCAACCAAGAACAACCTGCCCAGCAAAGCAGAATAATCCTTCATGGGAAAAAATGGTCATTTAATGAAATACAGGACATTCAGGCATTCCTGATGAAAAGACCACAGCTGAATAGAAAATGTGGCATTCAAACATAAGACTCAAGAGACACATAAAAAGGTAAACATGAAAGAGAAATTATGAGGGATTCAATAAGCTTAAACTTTTTATATTCCTATATGAAAAGATGATACTTGTAATTTAAAAATTTTATCATTATTAGGGTAGTTAGAAGGAGCCTACATAGACAGAAGACACAGGTGTGAGACGATTATGTTATAATGGTCTAAAAAAAATGGAGGGGTGAGAAAGAGAGCTGCACTGGAAGAATAGAATTTTAGAAAAGTTAGATATGACAGATGTCTGGATAAAATTGAATGGTAATAGAAAGGAGTATACTTATTCTCAGATATACATGTCACTTTCACAAAAATTGACCATGTATCTATCAGGGCCTCATAAAGAAATGAAGAAAAGTAGGAATACTAAATGTACCTTTTTTGGATCATAATGCAATAAAAATTACACTCCATGGGTAGCTTTGGAAGCACAGATCAAAAGTTAATTGGAAATTAAATTATCTAATCCTGAAGAATGAGTAGGTAAAAAAAACAAATGATAGAAACAATCAATAATTTCATTAAGGACAATGACAACAATGAGACAAGATAACAAAATTTGTGGGATGTAGCCAAAGCAGTATTTAGAGAAATTTTATAAGCAGATCAATAAATGGGGCATGTAACTAAAAAAAGGAAAATCTTCAAACACTAAAATTAAAATCCTGAAAAATCAAAGGAGTGATTAATAAAATTGACAGTAAAAAATTCATTAAACTAATAAATAAAACTAGGAGCTGGTTTTATAAAAGAAATAAAATAAACTGTTGGTTAATTTGATTTTTAAAAAAAGAGAAGAAAACCAAATTGTCAGCATTGAAAATGAAATGGGTAAATACACCACCAATGAAGATGAAATTAAATTAATTATTAGAAGCTATTTTGCCCAATTATATGCCAATAAAACCTGCAATCTAAGTAAAATGGATGAATATTTACAAAAAGACAAATTGCCCAGATTAATAGAAGAGAAAGTAGAATACATAAATAACTCGATCTTAGAAAAAGAAATTGAACAAGTCATAAATGAGCTCCCTAAAAGAAAAATCCCTAAGACCAGGTGATTTACGAGGGAATTGGGGCAGCTAGGTGGCACAGTGGATAGAGCACCGGCCCTGAAATCAGGAGGACCTGAGTTCAAATCCAGCCTCAGACCAAACACTTGACACTTACTAGCTGTGTAACCCTGGACAAGTCACTTAACCCCCAATTGCCAAAAAAAAAAAATACAGATTTATGAGGGAATTCTACCAAACATTTAAAAAATAATTAATTCTAATACTATATAAACTATTTGGGAACATAGGCAGAGTCCTTTCAAATTCCTTCCAGGACATAATTATAAATTTTGATACCTAGAGCAGGGAGAGGAAAAACAGAGAAAGAAAACTATTGAGCAAATTCCCTGATGAATATCTATGTAAAAATTGTAAATAAAATAGTAGCAAGGAGACTGCAACAATATATCACAAACATACATTGTGACTAGGTGGGATTTATACCAGAAATTCATGGCTGGTTCAATATTAGGAAAACCATAAGTAGAACTGACCATATCAATAACAAAACTGACAAAAAATCATATGGTTATCTCAACAGATATAGAGTTTTGTTTTGTTTTTTACAAAATACAACATTAATTCCTATTTAAAATGGAGAAATCATAGGAATAAATAGAACCTTTCTTAAAATGATAAGTAGTATTTATCTAAGCAATAGAAGGCTTCCCAATAAAATACCACTTTCCAGGAGATCAGGCTCATAACAAAGATAAGTTGAGTGCATTCCCATCAACAATCCTACAAATTATGCCCCAAAAGCCAGGGGAACGGAAATCCATGTTATAGCTGGAAACCCTCAAACTCTGGAAGGACACTATAGAACATAAAAATAGGAGAACATTGTACACAGCAACAGTAATGTTGTAAGGATGATCAACCTTGAAAGCCCTCTGTTACAAGACATTCAAGCAAATAGTGCAAATCACTTAACCCCTCTGGGTCTCAGTTTCCTTACCTGTAAAATGAGAAAATCTTAGACAAAATGATCTCTAAGGTCATTTTCAATGCTAAATTTTATGTAAAATTCATAAGATCAAAGGATTCTGAGCTGAGATGTTAGAGATTACCTCATCCAAGCCCCTCATTTTGCAGATGGCAAAACTGTATCCCAGAGATTAAGTAATTGCCCAAAGTCATATAAATACTACAGAGGCAGAATTTGAACCCAGGTTCTCTAACTCCTGATCTAATGCCACTTCTACTATATCATGCTGCAATTTGGAAATGTAGGACTAGAGCTCAGGGGAGGGAAAGAGCTGAAGACATAAAGTTGGGAATTAACTGCATATCTGTGACAGTTGGAGTTATAGGAGTGAATGAGATGACCAAGGATGCTCATTTCATCTCTTGGTTTGTGTGTCCTGCCCCCTTCCCTCCAAGCTAAAGTCAAGAAAGAAGAAAGAAAATAATTTAGAAGTCACAGTACATGAAAGAAGTATGTTCAACTTACATTGTTCTCTTTGTAGAAGTAAGAAAGCACAGGAATACGTCCTCGACTTCGGAACTTGGCACATCCCATGACTATTGCCTTGCTAGCTGCTTTTGGAATGACTATTTCAGGAGGGTATGTGCTGCAAACCTAAAAGTAAGAATTGTAAAAAACAACTGAATTCTTATAATATTTATTTGGTAGTAGCAGGCCTAGCAGCAATTATCCATAGGACTGTTGGATTTAGAAATGGAAAGAACTCTAAAGACCATATAGTCTAATTCCCTCAAGTTAGGGAAACTGAGGCCCACAGAGGGGAAAGAATGTCACACATGTTATAAAGTTTTTTTTTTCAAATAGTGCTATTAATTTCCAGAAATGAGACATAGTGAGACTATATACAGATACAAAATGCACCCTCAGAATGACCAGGATTTAAGCCAGAGGAACACACGTATACTCACACATACAAATAGGTGAAATCCACACACAAGGAAGCCTACTAAAGTAAACAAAGTCCACTAGAAACAAAAGAGTTGAAACAAGCAGATTCATGCTCAAGTGTGCAGACCCTTTGACCCAGCTCTACCATTACTAGGCCTATCCCTCAAAGAAAGAGGAAAAGGACTCACGAATACTCAAAAATTTCGAGTGGCTCTTTCACAATTACCTCATAGTTTTTGTTTGCATCTGTTATTTGCCAGTAGTCATTTGGGACTCCCATACGTTTGTAGTCTGATTTTAAGTCGATCGTTTTCCATCCCATTTCTCTATCATCTTTTGAAGATTTGGGGTTATAAGAAAAAGCATAAAGTTCTTCTGGTCTCACTGGGGAAAAGAAACAGTAATGAAAATGGTGCAGTTATCAGGGAGACTTAAGGGAAGCCATCCATAAATCAAGTAAAGGATTAGTTCTCTAAGATTTAGTGTTGAAAGAGGGCCTTAGAGACCACCTAATTCAACCTAAAAGTTAAGTGACTTTCCCAATGCAACACAGGTAGGGATCACAGGTTCCTCACAAGCCATCTAATCCAAATGGTTGGTGCTCAGATACTCCCTCCTCAGTATCCCTGACTACATGAAGGAAGGGGAAACCACCACACATTCCAAGGCAGCTCATTCAACTTGTTAGAAAGTTCATCATTTAAATGGTCAAAGGATATGAACAGACAGTTCTCAGATGAAGAAATTAAAGCCATCTATAGTCATATGAAAAAATGCTCTAAATCATTATTGATTAGAGAAATGCAAATCAAAACAACTCTGAGGTACCACATCACACCTATCAGATTGGCCAACATGACAAAACAGGAAAATGATAAATGTTGGAGAGGATGTGGGAAAATTGGAACACTAATACATTGTTGGTGGAGTTGTGAAATGATCCAACCATGCCCAAAGGGCTACAAAAATGTGCATACCCTTTGATCCAGCAATAGCACTTCTAGGGCTATATCCCAAAGAGATCAAACAAATGGGAAAAGGACCCACATGTACAAAAATATACATAGAAGCTCTTTTTGTGGTGGCAAAGAATTGGAAATTGAGAGGATGCCCATCCATTGGGGAATGGCTGAGCAAGTTGTGGTATATGAATGTAATGGAATACTATTGTGCTATAAGAAATGATGAACAGGCTGACTTCAGAAAAACCTGGGAAGACTTATATGGTCTGATGCTGAGTGAAGTGAGCAGAAGCAAGAGGACTTTGTACACAATAGCAGCCATGTTATGCAATGACTAAGAATATTAAACTGAACCCTTCTCAGCATTACGAGGATCTAAGACATCTCCAGAGGCCTCGGGATGGAAAATGCTGTCCACATCCAAAGAAAGAACTATGGAAGTTGAATCGCTCTCACTTACTTTTACCTTCTGTTGAGTTTTGTTTCATCTTTCTGATGGCTCCTCCTATTGGTTTTAATTTTTACTTACAACTTCACTAATGTGAAAATATGTTTAATGGGTATGTAAATGTAAAGCCTATGTCAGATTGTGCGCCATCTTGGGGGGGGGAGAAAAAGGGAGAAAAAAATTTCAACTCAAAAGCATATAGAAAAAAAAATTAAAAAAAAAATATATATATATATAAAAAGAAACTTCATCATTAAGCCAAAGTATTCCTCTGTAATTTTTATAAACTGGTTCTATTTCTACATTTTGGATCTAAGCACAACAAAATTATTTCCTTTCTTCCATTCAAAATACTTGGAAAATAACTATCATATTCCCTCTACATCTTCATTTCTCCAGGCTAAGCACCCTCAGGTTCTTCAAACAGCTATTATATGGAATGATGTCTACTTCCATCACTATCTGGGTACCTTCCAGTCTGTCAAAGTCCTCCCTACAATGTAGGAAAGTAGAACCAAACACAACGCTTGGCATAGCCTGACCAGGGAAAAATACAATGGAACAATCACCTCCCTTCCTCTAGACCAGGGGTTCGGAACCTGCAGTCTTGAGGTCACATGTGGCCTTCTAGATCCTCAAGTGTGGTCCTTTGACTGAATCCAAACTTCACAGTGAAGTTTCTCATCTCATTGTCATATATTCAGATCTTTTCCCATCCAAATCACTGAAGAAAATGCTGAACAGCAAAGGGCCAGGAGCAAATCTTTGGGGTATTCCACTAGTCACCTCCCTCCAAGTTGACATTGACCACCACTTTTTGGGTCAGGTCATTCAACCAATTCCAAACGCTCCCAGCTGTACTATCATCTAACCCACAACCTACATCTCTCCATCTTTTCAGTGAGGGTAGAAGGCAACTTTGTCAAATGGTTTGCTGAAACCTGATATAAGACATCTACAGCCTTCTCCAATTTAATCTAATAAACCCAGCAAAAAAGGAGATGAGGTTAATTTGGCCTCACCACTACGCCAAGATGCCACTTCCTAAAGTCATTTTTGGTATACCCAGACAGACCTAGGAAAAAAATACATTCTACATCCAAGTTGCCTTTTGGGGTACAGAGACAACGTTTCAATGTTACAATGGACTTTTATTTTTTAAACTGTTAGATTTCTTGTGAAGAGGCAGCATGGTCATAATGGACAGAGCAACAACAGTCTTGGAGTCAGAAAGAGCTGGGTCCAACTTTTACCTCTGTGACTATGGGGAAGGCACTTAACCTTTCAATGTCTTTGGCAATTCTCCAAGACTAGAAATTGCTGACATACCGTGGGAGAAGGCATTTCCTTATCAGGAACTGAAATCACAGGCGTAGCATCAATAAAAACAAATACTAAATTTTCAGAGAACCAAAGTCACCCACATAAACCAGGAAGATAAACGTGGTTCTAGGTTACAGCTAGTTGCAGACCAACATTAGTGGAGGGAGTCTCCATTTCAGGAGTGCCCCTATACTCCTAAAATCATAGGTCTGGACCCCAAAAATGTTACTGGTAACACTCAAACTTAGAAAAAGCAATCAGCCTGTATTTCTGTACAAGAGAGCACCTTCATCTTCTGATATAGCTTCATTAACCATGGGGAAACTTTTTTAGCATATAAAGAAAGCCCAATATTTTAGTGAGGTTCATAGAAAGGCAACTACCAGTTGGCCATAATTTCTATTCTCAACTCCTCATCCCCAAGCTTTTCTATTATTCACAAAACATCACAAAGCCTAACTACCTGGCTGGGAGAGCTTGAGCAGTGAGGCATGTACTTCATAACATTCCCATTCAGACCCAAAGACAAAGTGTGCTGTCCGAAAGTTTTTGCAATGCAAGAGCAGAGGATGACCCATGGAGGTAAGGGCTGACTTCTCCACAACAGCAATGTGGTGGTGCAGAATCTGCAAAAGAAGAAATATGAATGAGTCTTTAAATAGCAATTTTCTCTAATGGTGAAGTTAAATTGCCCAACATCGACTCTCAGAACAGTGATTCTTAGATATTGGCAATGGCCTAAGTGTCCAGAAGTACCCTTTAAGAAAAGGAAAGCATTGTACTTCCATGTAGGTGGGTGAGCAAGGAAAGATGTCATTCTGACAATAGGTCTTCATTTTAGGATAAGCTGAAATGGATTAGAGGGACCACCTTAGCATATTAAAAAAGGTAAATAAATAAAATAAAAAGAACCTCTGGCAGGCCATTGTGAGTATCACTTTGGACCACAATGAGTCCACAATCTGATCAAAAAACAAAAGCTACAGAGGGGCAAGAGGTGGAAAAAGCAACGGACTTGGAATAAGACAATCTGAGATTAAGTCCAGGCTGCACCAACTTAGGATCCTTAGCCTTAGATCTGAAAGGTTCCTTTAGAGATCATTTCCTCCAACTTCCTCAGTTTTCAGATGAGGAAACTTGTTAGTTATATGACCATGGCAGTAAGACATGGTAGAAAGAGCGCTGGATTTGGAGATGATCCAGGTTCCAATTCCACCTCTACTACTTATGTGAGACCACGGGCAAGTCACTTTATTTCCCTAGGACTCAAGTTTTTCATCTGTAAAATGAAAAGAGGGTTGGCCTACATGAAGGGACTTCATCTTTTTGGTCACTTTTTAAGGTCCTTTCCAGCTCCAGGATCCTGAATTACTTCATCTCTCCAAGACTCAAGTTTCTTCATCTATAAATGAGGAATATTAATATAGCTTTAGATGATATGATATACTATATAAACATATAATACTTGCACTTCTTATTTCATAGGACTGTTGGGGGAAACGTTTTACAATACAGAAGCACCATGGGAATGGAATACAACTTAGTGCTGAGCCAATTCCGAATTAAAAGGACAAGAGAAAGGATCCTAGTGCATTGGGTAGGGATACTCCAATGGAAACACTGGGAAATTGGAATTGTTATTTGCTGCTAAGCATTTTCTGTTGGAAGCTGGACAGAGTGGCACCCACCAGAATGGATGGCACTTGATTGAGTACAACTCCCACCAATGCGAGGAATACCTACAGTCATGAGAAATCATGGCTCCATCTAAGTATTCCAACATTCAATTTGATTCTAGGGTCAATTCCACTGGTTAGTTAACTTTTCCCTAGAGTCATTGCAAAAAAGTAGGTAAGTTCTTCTAATGGTAGACCTAAGGCCAGAACAAGAACTATGAATAAGCAAGGCTTATCCTGTAACTCCCTCTCATGCTAAAGCTGCCTGAGAAAAAAAGAAAACAAAACAGAATGGGGAAAGAGAAGAAATGCTGTCCAAATGGCATTACTATTTCAGCTTCCCTTTGAAGCTAGCAAAATACAGAAGAAATTGGGGGAGGATTTTTCCCTTTTAAGTTCTTCCTATCTCTGTGACTCATTTTCTATTACCATAGGCTCCATCATCTTCTTTTCACTAGGATCCAACCTGACCTCTTACAGCTTTGTGGTGTTTCCTTCCTAGAGTTCTGGAATGATATTGCCAACTTCATTTGTCTCATCCCTTTTTTTCAAATTCTTCCCCAAAGAGCTGTCTCTCTCACGAAATCTTTCAGTTAGAAGTCTTGAGAGTATATGAAGACTTGTGGGGTGGCCAGGGTGGATGGGCAAAGAACACAAACATGGAAATCATCTGGGCTCATCTAACTTGCTCCCTTTCTCTCACTATTTGGAATACTAAAGAGCTTTGATGATCCACATAAAATGGATACTGGCAATGCAAGTGAGGCAGCCTGGGGTGGTGGACCTGAGATGTGCCAAGGGGTCCCAGGCATGTCTTGGGTGGGTCATCTCTTAGTGGCCTGGGCAGCTCTAAGTGGCAGAGCATATGCTATTCTGTATTGAGAAAGGGAGTTTGCTCACCAGAAGTTCCCTGTAAATCCTTATGGACTTTCTTCTTAGGGATTTTCACCTCTATTAACCTCCTCACTGGGAGCTCCCAACATGGATAGGTCCTGACCAAAAACAACTGTGCCAGGTTCTGGGTTATGGTTGAGGAGCTAAGATCTGGTAGAAAACCAAATCATCTACAAAAACAAGTATCGAATTTCCTAAGTCCAGGTCACCCCGATAAACCAGGGAGCAGCAACTCATCCTGTCCTGCAGGGGATGGTAGGGAAGGCCCTAGACGTTGTGTGTGATGTTGGGCAAGTCACTTAACCTCTGTTTGTCTTAATCCACTGTAGAAGAAGATGGCAAACTGTTCCAGTATCTTTGCCAAGAAACAGCAAATGGACAGTATGGTTCACATGGTCATGAAAAGTCAGACATGACTGAACAACAATTCTACTCGGAAGGCAAAGAAGCTTCCTTGGCCAGGAATAAAGGGTCTCTGCATTGCCTTCTTCTCCCACCTCCTGGGCAAGACAGCCATAAAGAACAATAGAACATTAGATTTAAAATGTAACTGAGAAGGAAATCCCTGTAAACATTAGGGAACAACACGGTACAGTAGGCAAGACAGTGCTAGATTTTGAGTCAGAGGACCCAGGTGTGAATCCCAACCCTATCACTTAATTGCAAGTCACTTTCTCCTCTGAGTTTTATATGGTAAATATGAGCATTATATTATACAACCTCTCAGCTCCCTTCCAGACCTAAATGTCACGTTTCTGTGAATTTTTTAGAGAGGCAGAGAAAAAAAACTATTGAAGAACCACTAGGGAAGAGAACATTACAATTAGAATAAACCTCAGAGATAATCTAGTCCAATAGTTTGCAAAGGGTATAAGGCAGGACACCAGCACGGCAAGAGATTTTGGAGGGTATGCTATTGCAGAAAAGAGAAAATTTACAAATAATATTGTTTGCTATAAATTTTATTTACCTAGCATACACAGCGTGGTAAGTATAGTATTTGGAAAACAAACAAGACTTGCCTATTACAAAATACATCACCGTTTGAAATGTGAGAAGCTAGCACACAGTAGGTGCTTAAGAAACATCTGTTGAATTAGAACAGTTTGAGCTGGTCACTGCAGCAGCCTATGTCTCTCACCATAAATGGTTCATTTCAACAGTGTTCTTCGGAGGAAAGGGTCTATATCAGTGGTCAGGAACCTGCAGCCTTGAGGCTACATGTGGCCTTCTAGGTCCACTCAGGGGTGGCCCTCTGACCAAATCCAAACTTCGCAAAACAAATCCCCTTAATAAAGGATTTGTCCTGTAAAATTTGGACTTAGTCAAAAGGCCACACCCGAGGAGTTAGGAGGCCACAGGTTCCCCACTCATGGCCTATATGATTTAGGAAATAAATTCATTACTAAATACTGGTGCTCTATGGCAGCCCCTACATGCCAAATGAGAAGCCTCCATGTACAAGTCCTTGTTATACTTTCTTATTTCTTATCAGGAACACAGACCCAGATTTCCTTCCGGACCTCAGCAGAAGCATCTACATATATCAGATGGGTTGCAGTAAGGTAGAGAGTCCCGTTAGCTGGTTTCTTGTTTACATAACGATTCAATAACAGGACATTTTCAACCTATTTAAAAAGAAAGAAAGAGAAAAAGATTAAACTCCAACTTGCTACCTGTGACTGAAATATAAGAATGAAACATTTCTTTCCTTATCCTGGTGGCTCTTGACTTTCTCCAGTTTTACCAACATCCTTTCTAAAATGACATAACCATAAGTAAATACTGTATTCTAGTTACAAGTAGATATGATCAAGGCAGAAGACAGCAGGACTAGCATCTCCCTAGGCCTGGACATTGGTGTTCTTGAATGTCATAGCACACTGAGAATATGGCCTACTAAGGCCCCCTGATCTTCTTCAGATGAACTGCAGTAGAGGCATATCTCTACCATCTTGTGCTTGTGAAGCTGATGTTTTTTGAATTTTACATTTATTCCTATTAAATTTCACCTTATAATATGTGGCCCAATGTCCTAATGCATCAAGATCTTTTGATAAGTATCTCTTCATCCAAGTCTTTTGTAAAAATGTTAAAGAGCACACAGATCACTGAGGCATTCCAAAACGATTCCTTGGCTCTGCACTTTCAACCAGAGTGTGTATGGATGGGTCAGGAGTGCATGGGTGTCTAGGACTGCCTACCAGAAAGAGTCAAGGAGCAATGAAGGGCTCAGGCACTAGAGGGAAGGGGTTGGGGTGGGGTGTGATTCAAGAATACTTGCTGAAAGGATGAAGGAAGCTGATGCAAGAGCTGAGCCACACAGCGGGGAAGTAAGGAAGGAGAGTGAAAACCCCAAACTTCAACAACCATTTCTTACCCCAAAACGTGCAGAGAACTGTGCTGTGCACTGGCAGAAATATAAGACAACATGGTATAGTGCCTGCTCTCCCAATCTAAGAATGAGCCGAGGATCAGAGTACACAACTGTATTCTCTGCCTACAGGAACAAGGGATCAATCTGCTTCTGAAGTGGTCACCCTGGCTAAGTAGCTTAGATGGCCCTGTCTTCCAAAGGGCTGCTTGGTCAATGCCCTTCTCCTCCACTTCACCCTCTGCCACGACCACACCGGATGTTGTGACACTTACAAGAACTCTGCTCTTAGAGATGCTGTGACCCATAAAACATGGCATTTTCCATTTCCCTTCCAGGAAGAAAGGAAATGAGGTGCACTTCCGAGGTTTCTTAATCCATTTACTACCCTGATTTGCCACAAGTACTGGCAATAGCTCAAATCTACTATTTTTTAAAAATGATGAATATGTGACTGCAGAAGAGCTTACCAGCCTAAGAACATGCACCAGACATGCCCCATACTATCAATGCCTGATATCATCATTCATCATGAATACTACTGGAAAAACAGAGTGTTTGGAGTTCATCTGAGTCCAGCTCCTACATTTGTAGTTGAGGGAAACTGAGGCACAGAGTGATGACATGACTTGACTAAAGTCACTCAGGCAGTAACAGAATGGGGATTTAGACCCAAGTATTCTCCCTCCAAATCCTTTTCTTTTCACATTTTCAAAAGACTTTTTTCAGTTTTCTCAACAGGGTCTCTCCATTAAAAGGATGAGTAAGAAAGTGTAAAACATCAACAATGCAAGGGAGAAGGGAGAGAAGGAAAGTGAAGACTGAGAAAGTATTTGAGCCAATATGAAGGCAGTGAACTCTTGATCTATGGTGGTCCAGCAAAGACGGGATGACCACTTATTGGCTGGGTCATAGAGCAGACATTCTGAAATTTTTGTGTGTCCTAGATTCTTCCTCCCATCTCTTGCCCCACCACCTTGGGTAGGCAGGCTGTGGAAGCCTATAGACCCATTCTCAGAATCACCATTTTAAACAGATAAAATAAAATACCAGGATTACACAGGAAGCCAAAGGATAGTAAAAATAAAGGAGTAATTGTTTTTTTTTTCATCCAAGTTCATGGGCTCCCCAAGCCTAGCTACAGTGGACCCCAGATTAAAAACCCTTGTGGTAGGCAGTGAGGGTTCCAGTATGAGTTGAATTGGATTGCCACCTAGGCCTCTTCCAAGTCTGAAATTCTGCTATTCTATTATTCTGAAAAAGATTAAGTGGAAAAACACTATAGGAAATAGAGTCCTGGTATAGGCCACTATTAGAAGTTGAATGCATTTATTAGATCAGGTAACAAGGTATAATGCAAGCAGCACAGTCATCAGACCTGGGTTTAAATCCAAGCTACTTACTATCTGTGAGACTTAGGGCAAAATAATTTCTCCTTTCTGGGCCTCACTTTCTTCATTGGTAAAATGAGGTGCTCAGACTAGATGGGCTTTAAGGCCCATTCCAGCCCCAAGGCCTATCATCTAAGAGATCTTCATTTCTGAAGCCTCCCAGGACTTAACAAAATCAGGCAAGTCTCTCTCAAGTGAGAGTCAGAATGATGCATCCAGAGGCAAAGTATTTCGGGACTTTAAATTCAGGAAAAAAGGCAAAGAACAGCATCCTCTGTTACAGTCCCTTGCCTTTTGAATGAGCATGTTCTCCTAATACTGAAGAGCAAATCTTTAAGCTTTTCAAGATAAACCTCCTGTGAATGGGGAACTCGACGGGAGCATGCCTTCTGCTTACTAGAAAAGGCACGCTTACCAGACTTTTCACAGCTGTAAGTTTCTGAAAATCCATCTACATGAGGGCTAACCTCATTTTTGTTTTTGTTTTTTTTTTTAAAATCAGTCCTTGTATGTGATCGTTTAAAGTTTCTCTGAGCATTAACCCCGCATCCCCCCAACCAGGACCCCCCTCTGAAATGAAGCACTGATTTAGTTTAGGGGAAGTTGTTGGTTTTGCTTCCTTGACCATGTATTATCTTAAGGGAGGGGGATCAGGGGCCCTGAATTCAAATTGGGGAAGGGATATACCCGATGGATAGGAAGGTGAATGGGACAAAGCTCTAAATTAGAAGTAGCCATGTTCATGTCACTCTGATGGCTGTATTTCATCAAACCTGCCAGGCAGGCGAGTATAAACAACCTGAGCTAGAAAGCAGTAAGGCAAGAATAAGAAAGAGGTGCCAGACAAAGCCTGCAACTCAGCCCCAGTGAAGGAAAGGGTCAGGAAAAAAAGAGGGCAGAGAAATAGGAATTGAAGGATGAGGCGGAGTATCTGCTCTATTTCCTTCTGTTATTTGGAGATGCCATATATTGAAATACCATATTTTCTGCTAAATGCATCATCATTTCTAATGTGGCCTAAAGGAATGGGGAACCCGCGGCCTCCAGGCCACATACAGCCCTCTAGATACTCAGGTGCGGCCTTTGGACTGAGTCCAAGTTTTACAGAACAAATCCTTTCATTAAGGGGAATTCATTCTGTGAAGTTTGAATTCGGTCAAAAGGTTGCACTTGAGTACCTAGAGGGCCACACGTGGCCTGGAGGTTGCTGGTTCCCCACCCTTGGCCTAACCCTTTCTTTCTAGCATTCCAGGGGTTGGGGTGGGAGAGCAGAGCAGGCCTAGGCAGGAAGATGCTTTCAAATGCCACTTGGAGGGGCAGCTAGGTGGTGCAGTAGATAGAGCACCAGCCCTGAAGTCAGGAGGACCTGAGTCCAAATCTGGCCTCAGACACTTAACACTTACTAGCTGTGTGACCCTGGGCAAGTCACTTAACCCCATTGCCTAACCAAAAAAAAAAAAGACCCAGCAAATGCCACTTGGGAGGGGAATATTTTGGGGGAGTAAGCTCTATTGGGACAGAGCAGTAATGCCAAGAAATTTGTTAAAAACCATTTAAGAAATGACCCCTGGCCCAGAAGACATCATGAGTCAATCACTTCACTTCAATATATTTTTTTTGTTTAATTAAAGCTAGGAAAAGACAGTTGAAAGTATTGAGCTGACTGTCTTAAAGAGCTGATGTCAGGGACAGGGACCTCATTGATGGTAGGTAAGTAACTTTACGATCTTTATCTCATTCAATCCTCATAAAACCCTTGGAGGGAGGGGCTATTATTATCCCCATTTTACAGATTCACACAGGACCTGGTGTGCAAAGACCAAGGTTCCAGCCCAGCTCTGCCACTTACTAACACTGTGGCCTATGATAAGTCCCATCATTTTCCTTTGTTTTCTCATCTGTAAGATAAGGGTGTCGGACCACATATTCCCTAAGATCCCTCCATTTACCTCAATCAGAATAATAATTATTGCTTGTAGTCTTTTTTGCCTTTACAGAGACTACAGTAGCAGCGTTAAGCACAGTGCCTTTGCACACAATAGGAGTTTAATAACTGTTTGTTGAATTATAATTCTAAGGCAGGATGAGAAAGTAAGTGCTGGTATACCTGAGCTGCAGAAAGCACCTGGAAAGGGCATACATCAAAATGCCACCTCTTCTCTTGTCTATGTATGCTCTCTGCCCCTATTAGAATGAGAGCCCCTTAGAGGCAGGGACAAATCTCCTTTTCTATTTGTATATCCAGAGCTTATCACATAGCAAGCACTAAACAACTTTCTTGATCATTTATGCATTCTGCTGTACATCACCAGTCAGTTCTGTTCCACCTAAAGCCGTTCTTTGTGACCCTTCATGGCAAGTGCTGGAAAATCAGGATGACAATCCTTGCATTCATCACCTTCCTCATAAAGTGCTAGAAAAAATCTGAGTTTTTCATCACCAGCTTCAGTTTACTCAAAGCTTTCATGTTCCTGGCCTATTCTTCCAGGCCTAGATCATGCTTCCATATTCGTTTTTAAATAGTCCTGGCTTTTATCTTCTATTTGGCCCTCGAAACAAGTGAGGAGAAGATACCTCCTTCTGATTCTCTGAAAATTCGAGGGACCACAGGTGGGCAATGCTTCATATAATGTCCATCTTTTCTGACATGTTGGCAGTCTCACTAAAACTTTTTTTCTTCCTCATTTTTATTCTTTATTAAAAAGGGATGGCTCTCTGGGAGAGGGAGGGGAAGAGATACAATGGGAAATGTAGGTGATGTAAAGACAAAAGATAGCAATAAAATTTATTTTTATTTTTTAAAACTACCTTGGTCAATGAATTCTCTCTATTCATATGAGTCTTTTTAGATAGCTGCTCCTTTACATTCCTTCACTGGAATTGTTTCTCTTTCTGTCTTCGGAATCTAACTCTTGAGAATCTTATGGGCTATGGGATTTTAGGGTGTGGACAGATAATAATGATAATAGCTAACTTTATATAGTGCTAAGCACTTTGCCACCATTATCCCATTTGATCCTCACAAAACTCCTGCAAAGTGAGTGCTATTATTATCCCTATTTTACAGATGAGGAAACTGAGGCAGAGTATCTGAGATCGAATTTGAACTTAGGTCTTCCTGACTATAGGCCAGAAATTCTAGCTAATGGGCCACCTCAATGCCTCTAGCCCAGGGATGGGGAACCTGGGGCCTCAAGGCCACATGTGGCCCTCTAGGTCCTGAAGCGCAGCCCTTTGACTGGATCTAAACTTCACTGAACAAATCCCCTTAAGAAAAGGATTTTGTTCTATAAAACTTGGACTCAGTCAAAAGGCTGCACCCAAGGACCTAGAAAGCCACATGTGGTCTCCGAGGCCAAGGTTTCCTACTCCTGGTCTAGCCCTTTTATGAACCTTCTGAAATGTGCTTTCCCCAAGGCTAGGGTACATGTCAGACTATGCCCAGTTTTCTTCTTTGTCAAATTCTTTTTTTTTTTGTGCGGCAATTGGGGTTATGTGACTTGCCCAGAATCACACAGCTAGTGAGTGTCATATGTCTGAGGTCACATTTGAACTAAGGTCCTCCTGACTCCAGGGCCAGCACTCTATCCACTGCGCTACCTAGCTGCCCTCACAAATTCAAAGATTGGTTCTTTCATTTCTATTTCAGTAAATCACATAACCCTCAATGATTACTCCACCTTTTGAAGGTCCAAATTATCAATACAGCAAGCCTAGAATGAAGTAGTGGCTTTGCTTTTCCAGAGTTCCAGCAGGGTTTCAACCATCACTCCTTCAATGCCTCCATGCTGGGCTTTTGATCTGCCTCCCAAAGTCCTTTCTCTGTCCTCATTCTGCCTATGTATTATTTGGTATTTTAGTATTTTGCAACGACTTTGCTTTTATTTCTCTGTCTGCTAATGTTTCCAATGTTTCACCATGTTTCTACTCCTCTGGTGCCAGAATTTCCTGATGAGTATGTGTTTTTCATACACAAAACTACTCTTTTACTTACCCCCTTTCATTTATACTTCTCTTCTCAAATCAGGTAAACTCTCTCAGAGCTTTTCCCAATCATTCCAGGAAGTCACAGTGATGCCTATATTTGTCTCCTTTTATTAGGCGATATAGGATCACCTATTTAAAGCTGAGGGGGATCTTAGAAGCCATGTCATCCAAATTCCTCATTTAAAGGAAACTGAGTCTCTGATCCTTTGATAAAAACTGTCAGCCATTATTAACTAGACCTGGCATCCTCAATGAGTTATATCCCTTACATGGGGGTGGGGTGGTGGTTATTTTTTCACAGAATATCAGAGTAGGAAGATAGTAGCAAAATGCAGAGAGTCCCCCTCTACTCATCAAATCACTCAGCTCTGCAACTATGGGCCCTCTAAGACTCTTAGTTATAAAGCAGGTACAGATCTGCACTGGTAAGAGAGATTCCCCTAACTGGGAGTTCCCTCTACCAATGAAATCACAGGTCTCATCTGTTTTTTTTTCTTTTCTTTTGAACAAAACTCTCTAAGACTACATAAAAGTTGCAGAAGAGTTGTCCATCTACTTTGGCGGGGGAGTTTCTTCATTGGATAGTTTTCTCCTACACGGGAATTCCAAGTCTGGAATCGGAGGACCAGGGGTTTTGGGGGATCAAGTCTAAAGCCCTCATTTTACAGGGGGAAAGCTCAGGCCCAGAAAAGGGAAGGGCACAGTCCAGCGGCCATCCATCAAGGGGAGGCCGGGATCTGGCCTCAAAGCCCGAGGGCACCCCTCCCACTACACCACACTGCCTAGGTGAGCTCAGGGAGAAGTGGACAGGACAGGATGGGACGGGATCAGACGGGACAGGACAGAGGGGAGGAAGTTCACTGGAGTGCCAAGGTGTGGCGGGGAGACCCACACGCGGGATCCAAAGGGGAGCCCCGAGGGCTCGTTTGGGGGAGGCGGGACCTAAGTGGGAAGCAGGGGCACCTGGGGGAAGACTCCCCGGGAGGGAGTCTCTGCGCCCCCGAGGGCTGCGATGGGGGTACCCCCAAGCCCGGAAGTGGCCCCGAGCCTCCCCTGGCCGGAGTTCAGCGGCACGCCTTACCTTGGGCAGCGTGATGTGCTCCATGGCCTCAGCGGCCCGCGCTCCTGGTCCCCAGGTGGTGGGCTTGGCCCAGGGGCTCCAGGGGTGGGGGGGCCACGACGGACAGCCTCGGCCGCCTCCCCTCACCTCCTCCTGCTCCTCCCCTTCCTCCTCCTCCTGCTGCTGTCTAACGGCCACCGCAGCCGCCTCCTCCCCCTCCCTCCCGCTCCGCAGCTGCTTCCAGGGGCGCGCATCCCGCCTCCGCCCCCGGCCCCGCCCCCTGGGCCTCCCGGGCCGCCCTCTTGGCCTCAGGCCCCGCCCCTTGGCCTCAGGCCCCGCCTTCCCCTCCCTGGAACAGCCTGCCCTTTTCCTGGCCTGGCCACCTCTGTTTACTCTGTCTCCCTTCTCCAGTGGGACAAGCGAACTCGGGCACTTTCTGAGCTTCTTGGGCTCAGTTTTGTACCAATACCTCGCACCAACAACTCCCAACCCCTGGGCTGGCCTGACCCACTGGCACTCACCAGACCTTCCATGGTTGAAAACCATTGGATTTGAGAAATGGGAAGGACCTCAAAGTTCAGCAAAAGGAGGCCAGGCCTCCCTACTGTTCCTCAAGTACTGTTCCTGTATCTCCCAACTCCACACCTTTGCAATGGCTGTGCCCCTGGAATTCTGTTCCCTCCTTGTCTCCTTCTCTTAGAATCTATTCGCCTTCAAAACTTCTCCATAATCACCTCCACAACATGCTCTACCTGATTCCTCCCAACTCCTAGTTCCTCTCACCCCTTTCCCCCAAAAATGACATCATCCTTATTTTGTACATGCTTACATACATTATCTCCCCAGTTAGAATGTAAGCTCCCTAAGAGCAGTCAGTCCACAAGTCAACATTTATAAAGTGCCTACTCTGTGCCAGAAACTGTGCTAAGAACTGAGAATACAAAGAAAGGAAAAAAAAAAAAACCCAGCCCCTGCCCTCAGAGAGCTCACAATCTAACACAATGCAAACAACTCTGTGCAAACCAACTACTAATCCACAGAGTTAGTTGGAGCTAATAACCAGAGAAGGCTGTAAGCAGCGTGACCCTTGCAGAAGATGGGTTTTGAATCTTGAGGGAATCTTGGGAAACCAGGAGGCTTCAAATCCTGCCTCTGTCCCTTATTAACCCATTACATTGTAAACTCTTTGGGAGCAAGGACTATCTTTTCCCTTTCTTTGTATTCCCAGAGTGCCTGGAATGTAGCTGTTGTTCAGTCCTGTCCGGCTCTACATGACCCCATGGGGGGAGGGGTTCTTGGCAAAGATTCTGGAGTGGTTTGCCATTTCCTTCTCCAGTGTGTCCCAATTTTAGAGACGAGGAATTGAGGGAAACAGGGTCAAATGACTTGCCCAGGGTCACACAGTTAGTAAGTGTCTGAGGCTGGATTTGAACTCCAGTCTTCCTGACTGTAGGCCCAACATTCTATCCACTGTGCTACCTAGCTGCCCCCTGGCATATAATAGGGGTTTAATAAACGTCTATTGACTGACTGGCAATTATTAGAACACTGCAAATGGAAAAATCAACAACAAAAAGATGAAACTGAATGTTATGTAATTGTGATGCCCAAGTTTGGTCCTATAGGATGGATAAGGATACTACACTCCTGATTTCATCGGTATTGGGAATTCTCAGGTGAGGAAGCTCCTTCCAACAAGACAGATGAGCATGTTCTCTGCCACTAAGCATGGCCTAGAACATTGAGGGGATGAAAATGACTTACTCAGAGTCACATAGCTGGTAACATGTTGGAAGCAGGGCTTGAACTCAGGACTGTACTCCAGTTTGGAGGCGTAGTCTCTAGCCATCGTGCCCCACTGCCTCATAGAGGAGATGGAAAACTGGACTTTCCTTTTTGCAAGGATGAAGGTCTGGTGGGGTGAGACATTGTCTAGAGCAGGGGTGGAGAATCTGTGGCCTCAACGCCACATGTGACCCTCTAGGTCCTCAAGTGTGTCCCTTTAACTGAAGCCAAGCTTCAAATCCAAATTTGTTCTGTGAAATTTGGATTCAGTTAAAGGGCCGCACTTGAGGACCTAGAGAGCTGCATGCAGCCTCGAGACCACAGGTTCCCCATCCCTGACTGTCAGACTGTTGACATGGAGGTTAGTTTCATGGAATTTCTTTTGTTTCATTTTCTTTTTTAATTCTGACCATCTCACTCTTCTGCTATGAAACTAGAGTGGTTCCCCATTGCCTCTAGAATGAAATACAAAATGATCAGCCAGCTGCCGAGGGCCTTCCCTGCTTTTCCAGACATGGCTCATATTACTCTTCATACATCTATATTCCAGCCAGACTGGCTTCCCGGGTGTTCCTGCATCCAGGTCTTTGCACGGGCTCTCTTCCGTGCCCCCACTGCTCCCCCTCCCACTTCTGCCTCCTTCAGTCTTTAGCTTCCTTCAAGTCTCCACTCAGGTGCTCCCCCCTTACACAGAGTCTGCCCTGATGCCCCAAAGGATTGGTGTTCTCATCTCCCACCCCCACAAATGGCTTTCTATTTACTCAGCTATTTACAGGATGGCATTCCCCAGCAGTGTGTGAGATCCTTGAGGGTGGCAAGGACTGTTGGTTTTGTCTTTAGTGCCTAGCACAGTGTCTTGTATATAGTAGGTGCTTAATAAATGCTTACTGAGAGCAAGCTGGAATTGTCCTCAAAGAGTTATTAAACTGTGTATACCCTTGGACCCAGCAATACCACTATTAGGTCTGTTTCCCAAGATGATCAGGGAAAAAGAGAAAGAACTTATACGTTCTAAAATATTTGTAGCAGCTCTCTTTGTGGTAGCAAAGAACTGGAAATTGAAGGGATGCCAGTCAATTGAGGAATGGCTGAATAAGTTATGGTATATGATTGTGATGGAATACTACTGTGCTATGAGAAATGACGAGCTCGATGATCTTAGAAAAACATGGAAAGACTTGCACGAAAGAATGAAGAGTGAAATGAGCAGAACCAAGAGAAGGCTGTATACAGTAACAGCAATATTATTTGAAGAGTAACTGTGAATGACCAAGTAATTCTGACTGTTATAAATACTCAAATCAACTACAAAGGACCCATGAAGGAAGATATTATTTACCTCCAGCGAAAGAACTGATAAATAGAAGTATGCATTGTATGGCTTTACACACACATACACACATATATATGTATACATATCACACATGTGTGTGCATGCAAAACAATTTAGCTCATCCCAGTAGAGGTAATGTAGATAAAATATCTTTGGGTTTAATTAATTAACTAGAGTAGCAATGCTTGAATTAGACTAAGCACTGGAGATACTAAGAAAAACGAAAGATGGCCCTTGCCCTCAGGGAGCTCCTGGTCTAATTCAGGAGACAACATGCCAACAGTCATGTGCAAACAAGGTAGATCCAAGATAAATTGAAAATAATTGACAGAGGAAAAGGATGAAGATTAAGGTACAGGGGTGGGGAACCTTTCGCCTCTAGGTCCTGAAGTGTGGCCCTTTGACTGAATCCAAACTTCACATATTAACAAATTAATAAATCCTTTTAATAAAAAGATTTCTTCTGTAAAACTTGGACTCAAGGGGTAGCTAGGTGGCACAGTGGATAGAACACCAGCCCTGAAGTTAGGAGGACCTGAGTTCAAATCTGGCCTCGGACCAAACACTTAACACTTACTAGCTGTGTGACCTTGGGCAAGTCACTTAACTCTAATTGCCTAAAAAAAAAAATAAGGGCCTGAATTGGGGCATGTTCTCCCCTCTACATACTCACTCAGTCCCTGGGGAGAGTGTACTCAAAATGAAGTGGTGACGATAAAACATTCCCCTCACCAAATTAACTTCTGGGGGTGGCTTAGCTAATGGACACTCCCTTGCTTCCATGACACCAAATCTCAGCTGCTAAGGTTAATTCACTGATGGATTATATCAAACAGGTTGCTCTTCAAAGCCGGTCCCTCCCTGGACTCCATTGCTGCATCTGCTGCCATACTCTACTATAGATTCCAGTATCTGTGTGTCTATGGCTTTTCTGACTTTTCAAAGCTCACTAGGTCATCTCCTGGCCAAATTCACCTCTGATACTCATTGACTTAGGGTCAAGACACAAAAGAGACAGACCATGTATTCACGGCAATATGGCAGCTGGGTGAGGAGAATAGTGAGCTGACAGAAGGCCACTGCAAATTATCTCTCACCTCCACCCAGCGGCTTAAACCTTTCTTTTTCATCATCCCTCAAAAGCTACCAGGTAACTGAATTGTTTCCATCTGAACTGTCTTAGGAAGATTCTGAAGATCACCTGGCAAGATAAAGTACCAGACACTAAAATCCTTTCTTGAGTTGAACTGCCAAGCATTCAAACTCTACTACAGAGCCCAACTCCAATGGACTGGCCACATTCAAATGAGTGTTTGCCTAAAAGACAATTTCATAGAGAATTCTAACAAGATGAGTGCTCACCTAGAGGTCAGAAGAAGCAATACAAAGACAATCTCAAGGTCTCTCTGAAGAACTCTGGAATCAATTACGAGACATGGGAGATATGGGCACAGGACTGGGAGGCATAATGTGCCTACATCAAAGAAGGTGCCATGATCTCTGAGTAAAGCAGAATTGCAATGGTTCAAAAGAAACATGAGATGTACAAATTTAGAGACATCTCCACTCCCAATGTTCACACGTGGTAGAGCCTTTTGAGCTTATATTGGTCTGATTAGGCATAGTTGGACAACGTACCTTGACCCCAACATAGTGATATCATTTTGGTCCTCTTCAAGCGTGAAGGACAACTACTACTACCACCACCAAGTGAGGCAGAGATATTTCAGATGACTCTTTTCTATGTGCACCCAGTTCTGATGCAACAACCAAGTGCGAGACTTTTTGTTGTCTCAGCAACAGCTCTCAAAAATTCTTACACCCTTAGGAGTTCCCAAGATCCTTTTAGGGTGTCCATGAGTCAAAACTATTTTCAAAATAATATTAAGACATTATTTCTCGATTAAAATATCCCTCCCTTTTCCCACTACATATCTGTGTGAGGTCAAATTTTCTTCATATACTACAACCAAAAGAACATATCACAACAGATTCAATACAGAGTCGGAGATAAGAACCCAACTTTAGCCAATTAAGCCAGATATTAGAGGTTTGCAAAAATATGTAAAACAATGATGAATTTAGTTTGGGAAAATAGTTATTT